CCTTAGAGAATGCGGGGAAGTGGGCATGGCCCTTGTTGCTGAAAGCATTGGCCGGAGACGATCGCAACCGATCCATTGAACGTCTTCGGCTAAAGGTTATGGATGGACTCGGAGACTGGTTAAGGGAACTTCTTATTTCCAACCCATCATTGAAGGAAGTGGAGCTCCACCGACTTGTCATGGAGCCTGAGCAAGCGCACCAGCTCGGCGAAGCCATACGTGACAATGCCATAGCGACTACTATACTTGTTAGGTTTGAATCCAGGTTTGATGAATACTGGGAGTCAGTGGAAGCTCTTGCTCGTTCTGCTAGCTCCGAAGTCAACGACCCCACTCTGGAGATTACAGTCCATGTTCGTAGTGAAGATGAAGTGATGTTATCATTAAACCTATTAGGTAGGGTACTGCGCGGGGAAATCACATCTATGAAATCTCTGAGTATATTACATTACCAAGATAGACCAGAAAGTATCTTGTCTATAAATGGAAAAGCTGGAGAAACTTGCGTCCTGAAGAAACTCGGATTAATACGTCTAAGCGAAGATGTTTGGAAGGGAGTATGGAAGTACCTGCTTTTGTGCCTGCGAGGGAACACAAGTCTCACTCACTTGGATTTGTGTGAGACCTGGCTGGACGAAGAGACGTTCAGGGACATGATGGGGCTACTCCAAGTGAACTTGAGTCTCCAGGAAATAAATGTCTCAGAAACCTCATGGGCTACAGACGGAAAGGCGGCGTTGATTCAAGAGGCACTCAAGCAGAACGAGAAGCGGGCCACCTACATGTCCGTATTTAGAGAAGCCGGATTAGCATTTGGAGATCCAAAAGCCGGTCGACTCTTTCTATGCGGCTCTCCTCTAGCAGGTAACGTGCTCTGTAACCTCTCAGCTTTTTGAACTAGCAATCTAAGGTTTTACTTCTCCAAAATTTATCCTATAGTAAAAAAAGTTCATTTTTCTCTCTACACATATTTGGAATAGTTTAAAAAGTTTTAAAGAATTGAAGAACAATTATTTTACCATCCTAATTAATTGAGATTATAAATAATATCTATTCAATCATTTCAAATTTTGAATTGATATTCAAAATTTTTACCAATACTCTTTATCCATTTGAAATAATAGTATCAAGTAATCTGTAAAAATATCTCAAGTTATATTTGTTGTGGTTATTTGTACTCATTTTGCAGGCAAGACTCAATTGCGTCAAACCTTGATGAGGATAGTTGAAGGCAAAAGTTGGCTTGGAAACAAATGGAACAAGTTGTTTAGAACTAAAGGTATCGAAGTGGAGTACTTGCAAAACAACGATAAAAGGCAAATTTCAATCTGGGATCTTGCGGGGCAAGAGATTTTTCGTACCCTTCAAACTGTGCTCTTTCCTCAATCCAACAATTTTTGTGTTTTTTTATTTGTGTATAGCTCTTTTTGTGAGAACTCATCTTCTAAAAAAGAAGACTCTTGTTTTCGGACAGAGTTGGAGGAATGGATGAGTTTTATCACATCCAGCTCTAGGGTCACGGGACATAATCGTCCGCAAGTTCTTGTTGTGATTTCACACAAGGACAAAATCAAATCCAGCTCTTTGACTTGGGCTCACTCAATAGTGAAAGATGTCAACCAAAGATTTGCAAAATTTGTGGATCTTCATCCAATTCAAGAGTGTTTTCATGTAGATACGAGAAAAAAGAAGCAAGTTATAGATCTCAAAGATTATATTTTTGAGATTTTTGACAAGTTGTTGAGTGAAAAATCCCCACGGGTTCCCCAATTGTGTTCCCGACTCTCTTCCCTCTTGGCTACAAACATCAAGGAGAACAGAAGTTGCCCTATTTGGTTACCTCAAAAGTTTAATAAATTCTGTGATCCCATCTTGACAGAGTTCATTTCATCCTCTTCAGCTTTTGCCATTGATCATTCAAGGATATTAAATTCGATAGTATCTTATTTGAATGACGTTGGATCCATAGTTTATATTCCAACCCTTAGTTACATCATTGTAGATCCAAACTGGCTCACTAATACATTATTGGGTGAGCTGGTAGCCCTGGGTCAAAAATTTCATGCTCAAGAGCACGAAAGTAAGTCGCATTTCTCATACTCCAGCAAGGACGGATTTGTGAGCGAGAGTGTCTTTGTGGGATTGATAGAGGAGTTTCTGGGAAAGCAACCGCATGGACAGATTGGTGTGGACAGAGATGTGATTGAGAACATCCTTATCCATTTAGATTTGTGTTTCAAGGTGGAAGATACTTCTCAATTTTATTTCATTCCCTCCTTCATACCGGAGCATGCAAGCAATGAAGAACAGAAGCCTCAAGAAGGGAAGGACTTGGAGTCGATGGCTTGGGAAAGTAGGGGTGAAACTTCAGAGTTTGTCGGCATCCGGATTCAATGCCAAGATGGAAGAACAATGTCATTGACCGCTGCTTTTTTCCCGTGCTTCCAGGTGATTTCATATTTATTGTGAGCAAATTGAATGCTTGGAGTTCTCATTGTAACTTGTGGTCGATGAATTTTCCCTTCTCATTAGTTGAATTCAATTTTGTGGAATGCGCAGCTCAATATTTACCAAATTTTGTATCATTGTAGATGTTCATGAGACGCAAGTTGATATCGGAGATGCGTGTCTCCAAGAAAACAGTGACCTGCTCTCGACAGTATCTGCGACTTTTTCTTGATGGACACGAGATCTACGTCGAGCAAGGAACGTCCCACAATTACATGGATGTTTTGATGTTACGCTCAAAGCATAAATCACGGTCGGAGGCTCTGCAATACTTGATGAAGCATATTGTCCAGGTGTTGATATCATTTTGCGCATCATCCAAAGGCTGTCCTGGGGTGGCTTTAGTGCTCAGTGTGATCCAAACATTTTGCGTGGAGATGTTGATTCCGAGTCATCTCAGAGGAGCCATTCTCATCGAGGAGCTCAAATCAAACTTCATTGATAGCATCAATGACAAACTTGAGGATATTCAGTTGGATAGGTTTCACATGGAGAAGGAGGAAGCGTTGTTCAGCTATGAGCACTCTTGGCCCTCGATTGAAGGACACACAGGGGTAATTTCCGAAAGCGCTAGAGATTTGTTGTGGGAGAGCGATGTTGAAGCGGTTGTGAATGAGATCCGACAGAAGCGAATGCAACAATTGGAGTCATTGCAGCAAGGTTTAATCGAAGTGAACAATGACTTGAATCATTCTCATCCTGAAAATGAGAACATGGTTGGCAGATCGAGTTTTCCTGATATGAAACAATCCAATCGAACTTCATCCATGTGCTTAAGTCGGGCAAGCACAAGTGTACAACATGGTTCTATCGGACTTGAGAACAAGATCGATCAACTAGTACAAAAGGTTGATGGTTTGGATCAGAGGTTGAGATTGATGGATATCAAGGTGGAACAGATACTCTCTTTGCAACAAGAAGTGAAGTCAACGTTTAGCGCCTTCATGTCTAAAGTGGACAGGATCATTGAGTATCCTCAATCGCTTCAGCAGGCTGGAACTCCCAAACGACCATACGTCAAGGATGATGTTGGACTTTTCTATAAGATGAGTGCGCATCTGCATGTTGGAAAAACCGTTCGGTTACACTTGATGTGTGAATCGGCTACTGGATTTCACATAGTCAAAGATCAAGAAGGTTTAAAGATACGCGTGGATCTGAATAATCGCGCATGGATTAGCAAAACCATTGAAATCTCACTCAAAGTCATGTATTATGCTGTGAAGGCTGGACTAGATGTAACCTTCGGGTTGGGCCAAGCGATTCCGGACTGGGCAGATTTAAAATCTGATATTGTTAAACTAGATGGCATTAGCTATAGTGATCGTAGTGCAGTTTTAAAAGGTGGGGAAAGCATGAAGCTCAAAGAAGCATGGCTGAGGATTCAGCAAACTCTTGCGCCCCAGCTTCGAGACCGCTATTCGACAATCTTCAAGTTGTATCAGGTGAAATATGTGAGACTAGAATTAGGTGGGCATGCATGGGTGTGCGAGGAGTGCATGAGTAAAGGTATTAGAGCTCGCATTTTGGTAGTAAATTGAAGACCTTAGAATGTCATGATGTATCATGACATTCTGTTGACAAGCATATGTTTAGACACTCATGCAATATGAACCTCTGCAAAATCTTCCTTAGAGTTTTCACGTGTAACAATCTTTTATAAAATGTGCAATCATGTCAATCGCGCAGTTATGGTTCTGAAGAAGATCAGATTTTGGCTAAATTATCACTAGTTTATCGTAATGGTCTTGTTTGCAGTCCATCAAATTGGATAGTTTATTTCGTGAAGCTCAAGAGTAGCCCTATTTGGGCTACGTGGACCGCGACAACGTAGACATTGGTGAGGCAATCTGTGTAGTACTGCGCACAGATCGTAGAGATGTGACTGCGGACATTGCTTCGTCGCGTTGTGGATCTGAGGAGTATCTGTATGTAAGTCATCTGAAAAATTATTTTCGTCGACCTTGACAACCTCTTACCTGTCATATCTCGACATGTCTCAGTTCTAAGATATATATCCAAGATCCTGAGACGATAATAGATTACTCCCATGTAGATAGGGATGGGCACGGCTCCGCTAACAAAAAATATTAGCCAGCTAGCCGATAAATATTTGCCACCTCTATCCGAGGCCGAAAACGAACCATAAACTCGGACCGAACTTACGATTTCGCCCGATTATTTCCTCAACTTCGACCAAAATTATCCAATAAACATTTATTTCGGACGAATATTTCCGTTGATTACATTTTCGGGCGAGAGCCGATTAGCCGACGGCTAGCCAGCTAAATTTGAGGCCAAGCCGGCTAGCCGAAAGTTAGCCGGCTACGTGCCCATCCCTACATGTAGATGCCAGACAAGAACTAGCCGCTCTCTACTGCCTGGAAGTGCACTGAGCTTATCTCGTCTCATGTAAAAGTTGTACAGGACAACAAAGTATTCCACAGAGAACTCAGAGAAACTCCTTACAATCGAGCACTCCATGGGAAATAATCTTCACCATCAACGTAAACTTTACTGAAGAAATCTGGCGCAGACAGATTCACAAACAGACGCCGCCAACCAAAGTGAGGATGGCAATTTTCTCCTACATGCGGTCGTTCGGGTCTAAGCTGCGAACTTGAAGAATACATGAAGGGGAACCTCCCGGAACCTTCCTCAGGAACCCAGCTACTCGACTTACAGGTGAATTAAAGTGAAGACGAAACCGAATTATTCTAATCCTGGACTAGGATTGCACAATGAAGGTACTGATATGAATCCGATCAGCAACCAGCTCTTCGTATTGTTCACACAGTGTTTCTTCAATTGGACAGAACCTAGGGATAAGTAGATCATCGTACTCCAAACGCTGAGTGATATCTCGTGGTCATATGAAAAGCTCGTCCGGCCCAGTAACTTTACTTTCCCCTTCTGTCTGCGTCCGACTGCCATGTGAAATTGATGCTGCCTCGTCTGCTGTTATCTGCTTCAGTTTCTCCAGAGCTGCACGTCCAGCACAATGCAACATACCCACTGTAAGGTAATTGTGTGAAGCTAGAGAAGTACCGAAAACGAAACAAAGCAAAGACAGCGTAGGTTCGAAAGTTCTGAAAATATCACATCCCATTGCATTGGTCCGAAGCAGCTTTACGATTAAGTACAATATCAGACACAGGTGGTTATCTAGACAGAGCTGCCTTCAGCCCAGAAAGAAAACCACACCCTGTGTGAGACGCGTACCTTCAGTGTAAGACTCATAAAGCTCTTCGGTGACAGATGACGGCAGTGAATAGTCCTTGCACTTGCTATTGTCCACTTTCTTCAACATCTGTTTGAAGTGTCGTACCTGCGCAAACATCCCCAGGTTACAGATCAACGCACATAGCGGGTTAGATGACTGCAGGCCGTTATGCACAACCGAAAAACAAAGACAACAAGACGATGGTCTGCGCTGAATAAGCCAGAGCAACATGGGAGGAAGCGGATACAGCGCTATTAAACTTGTTATATGGAATGTAGATCAAACTACTTTGTGGTTTATGCATGTTCAGAAAGCGAACCTCCTCCTTCTGAAGAAGAGTATAAGAGCTCCCGGGCTGTCCGGCTCGTGCAGTGCGCCCAACACGATGGACGTAGGTCTTTGCGTACACAGGCATATCATAATTGACAACGTTTGCAACACCTTCCACATCCATACCCCTTGTCATCGCATCTGAGGCAATGAGCACTTGTGCCTGGCCATTCTGGAATTTTGCCAACGCTTTACTGTAAAGCATAATATAGAGGCAAGTCATTAGGATTATTGAAGCCAGCTACGAATGTCGAATAACAAACGAACGAAACCGAGGCAAGTCATTAGGATTATTGAAGCCAGCTACGAATGTCGGATAACAAACGAACGAAACCGACTTGGGCATTCACCCCAAGCTCAATAAATCATAAGAAAGAGGAAATAACCTGCGACTTAGAGGTCTGTATGTAGAAATATATACTTATTAGTTATTTGGTCTACATAACCCATCAAAAGCACACACGTGTTGGACAAACCTGCGGGGTTGTTAATGCTGCAAGCTTGAGTACTCAAGCACCTTGAACGACAATCCTTTGTAGCATTTTAGCAGAGTATATAGTTGATGAGTAGCCACTACAGAAGCAGTGAAAACAACGGTTGTTTGGCTGCAAAGCTGTTGCAAGAGTGCTACCAAATATAAGGGCTTCTCTCCCGGTTTGCAGACCTGCAAAGATGTTCAGGACAACAATTTCTGTTACGGATCATGCGATGCAGGTTTGAACAAACACAAGCTCCAAGGCTACGTGAACTAAATTGAGTCAGCAACAAGTTATGGTGGCAACGTGTGTGAACAGAGATACGTACCATCCTGTAAGACTTAAGTTGTTCTGGTAGTTGATACCGGTTGCCAGCAGCACCAGGCGCCACATATATGGGGCAGAAAAGACCAAGTTGTGCAATTTTTGCTGGATCTCTCGTCAAGGTAGCCGATAACACCATCTTCATCAATCGTGGGAGTGCAGTGCCTCTATTTCCTCTTTCAAGACAGCTGCACGTAATCGCTAAAAACTTAATGCCCAGCTTTTTCTACAGTGAAGCTCATTATTCATGTAGTTGCGTCCACCTTTTGCCTCAGGGCGTCAGCGACGTATTACGATGGTTTCCATATTATGAGAATAGACATGAAATGACCAGAAGCAACAGAAATAAGCAAACGAGAGGATCAAACCATGTGAATATAATCCGGACATTCCGTACCAATTTCTAATGGTGCGGACTGAGCCAGGATGAGAGTTTCGAAACGCTAGTCCAGACAACATCGGGCCAGAAGCAGAAACACACGCCAAGACATTTGGCAGCCACTCCTGGTAAGATTGCCGTAGCAATCTATCTGTTTCATCAACAACCTGACAGACAAACCAATAGTTTGTTAACCTCTGTGACATATCGTTCGAATTGATAAAATGAAACAATTTAGAGAATCTATATAGGCCTCATCACGGCCTTTGTAGAAAGATGACGCTATAGAGAAACAAAGGCAATAGTATCACCACGGAAAAAACTCACGAGAAATTGTAGGTGCTGAAGAGTGAACCCTTTTGTATTTCGAATATGGTCCATCAAGCGCCCTGGAGTTGCAACAAGTCTGTCAACTTGGCTTTCGGCAAGGTCGGGAGTTGCAGCCTCAGATTTTCCAAAACTGTGGACCATCGACTTACGAATCTGAACCAATTCAGCCGCTTCAGCTACAATTGACGTTTGTCCCACAGCTAGTCCCACTGAGAGACCAACTGCTGGTGCGATGGTGTCAAAGACTGCTGTAACCTGAAGAAACGAGATTACCAAGGTTGAAGGCCTTGGTAAGATCTTGTGAAACTGTGACACCTTCCGGGTAAGAAAAAAAAGTGCATACAGTGACATGAGAGAAACGTACCTGCTCGATCGTCTCCAGAGTTATTTTCCGAGCAATCTCATCCTACGCATAAGCTTTCGGAGATTTCCGATAGATTTTCCTTGGAAGTTGGTCCAATACGATCACAAGAGCAAGCCTACTGCGCACACTATCTTTCCATCCATCTAGGGCCCCTTCGGCTGCTAAGTTCACACACTCGCCAAACTTCATCTCCACCTGAATAATGCATGTTACGACTTTCAGACCAAAACAAATAAAGCCTGCCTACTTACATGACTACTGTCTTAATCTCTAAGCTTAGACCACTCACACTCTTCAGCCATAAACATGGTGGAAAACGGTGTTAAGAAAACTTTCAAGGGGAAAAAATATGTAGCACCAAATCCTCGAGGTCCTCAAAACATCCAATATTCAGAACTCCACTGAACAGAGAATGTGATTCAGTGCAATTCAGAGCTATACTTAAGTTCGTCAAGTTGCCATGTATAACATATTCAATAGATGGATTGAAAAATCTCTAGTAGATGAACCACAAATAAGGTTGATGGACAGAGTAAGAAGTCAGTCATAAGCTTCTTTCCTTAAGAAGCTCTAAATAGTCGGTAATGCGAAATGGTGTCAGGTCCGAAGGTTGACTGACTTTCATATACAGGACTCGGTTGAGGTAGTTTGTAATAATCTCCCTCGTCAGATTGCTGATCCGAATGGTCAACATGTTTCAAAAGAGAACACCAACGCGAAGTGCTCCCTTCCTGTGCTCCCAGTCTAACGCCTTACAGGTTTTAGAGCGTCAGGTTCTCCTTAAAGCCTCTTCGAGAACCTCTGAAGAGGCTTGATGGTAAGTGGTTCAATTCTTGATTTTCCTCGGAAAATGTCAAAAGGACTGTTCATTCACGCCAGAGATTCCCTGACATGTACTCATCGTCCATGTAAGGACTAAGATGAGGTTCACGAGGTCCAAATGGAACATCTCATTCTATGATTCGAAGAGACAGAGTGAGGGTCCAAGATTACCTCTCGGTCGAAATCAGGACCACGCATGAACCAACTCTTACTCGCAAACACATTCTTTTCCGCATCTACGTCTCTGTGCCTGGAAAACGCTAACACCAGTTGTTGTTGAATCATGAAACCATCCAGTATCATCAAATTCGCAAGCTGCCTTCCGGGGTTTGTGGGAGCACAGGAAGGGAGCACTTCCGGGCCTCATTCGTTGGAGGGAGTAACGCTTGATTCTGAAGCACTCGTGAACACCGTGCGACGGCACCCCTTATACCTTCGTGCTGTCTTAAAGAATTAAATAGATTTAAACCTTGTTCCTGTTGCTTAAAACCCAACTCAAATTCGCAGGCACACGCGTTGAATCATCTCTTTCACCAGGCAAGATAAGATCGGGTCGTCAAAGCTGGATTTGATATACTCCACCCTAAAACCCTAAACCCTTCTCTATTGAAACTGCAAAGACATCAGAAGCTCTCTTCCAACTGGCCCATTTGAAGAACTGCAAAGCCGATTATATTACAGAGGGATATACTAAGAGCGAAGACTCATGAGCGTTAAGTACGAAATGAGGAGATAGCAATGCTTAGGACTTCTGATGGGCTAGCTAGTCTCGAGGAGATGACTTTGGAGTGCAGTCAGGTGTTGACAGGAAGCCAGACTCATCAGCATTGAGTGAACTGAAACGCTCGATAGTTAATTGCTTCGTGAGTAAAGAACAAGGGTTTACAAACCAGAACTGAAGCACGTCTTCCAAAGTGACCGTGCAAGAGCTCAGAGATGGCCCAGAGTTGCTGAAGCTGGCGGCAACCAAATGACTAGGGCTGCTAGGGCTGCGCATCATTGTCAAAACTGGATTTCCACGATCGAGAGCTTCAGTAAAGACTAACGACAGACGACTGGATCACTCTGGACGGCAAAATATAACTCTGCGCACTGGCCCCAATCTGCCCATCACCATGTCGTCCCCCGAGACGAACTCAGCTCATCAGGATGAAACAGTGCAAAATCTTCGCAGGTGATGTGTACAATTTAGTGCTTTGAAGATGAAACTTATTAAACATTTGCTGAAAACATGGAAACATGATAGACAAACCTGGATGCAATCGTGGATGTTGACGATTAAACCGTGCAGTAAAATCCATCCTCACTTGCAGCGGCGATGATGAACGCACTTTTGCCAGCTGCCCTGCAGTCGACGCACTCCCATCTCCCAGTCGCGGTTTGAAGCCAGAACCAATCCGCAACCTCTTCTCGAGAAACGACAAAAACTGTCTCTCCATCCGCCACCTTCGTCCTGCCCTGGATGCAAGAACGAAATTCACAGACCCCATCCCTCCCTCCCTTCCTCCCTCCCTGAACTGCCAGGCAATCTGATTTCCAGCTCCAAAAGCAAACCAAAATCGTCTGCCAACACTTTCGTTCGACCAGCCACAGAGAGAGAGAGAGAACACTCCTCGACTAAAGCAGCCGTCGATCACTGAACTCCATCACTCCCACCAAAACTCTCCCACTGAGCTCACTCACTGCTGCACTACCCCGAACCAAGGCACCTGAGAACACAGCACCACCTCGTTGGCTGGCTGGGTGCAGATCCATCGTCGTAGGCTCATGAACAGGCCGGCCGTGTCCATGAACATCGGGCGGCAGCGTTGACAAATTCGCGACCGCAAGTCGCAATGCGCAGTCGAGGCCGTGGCCTTCGTCTCACATCTGCCAAGTGGAACTCTGAACTCTCGGGTACAGAGCTCCCTCGCGCTGACCTCAGAAGCGTACCTCACGGGACCAGAGCCCCTTTCCACGTACGTATCCGAAGCGTACATCGCCTGAGACACATTGCCGAAAACACGACTACAGACTTCGGGAAGAAGTCCAGGGAATATTCTGAAATTCCCGATGACCGGTCGAGATTTCGGGATGGGTGCTCATGGAGACCGAAATGTAGGGTACCCTAGATGTCGGGCTGCTATAATGAAAGATTAATATGAACTCTGCTTTGCCGCAGGGAGATCGTCCTTCTCTGTCGTTGTATGATGGCAGCAGGCTCCATGGACGACGAGCAGGTCGAGGTCGAGGAGTGTGGCAATCGCATTCTTCTGTGGGCTGTTGGCATTCGGAGGCGCCATGACATGAACCGAAGTTTAGTCGGCATGGCGTCGAGCAGTTTGGTGGAATTTGGGCGGAAGGTTCTGGCGGCAGATGGCGTGAAGATGAGGATGGTGGGATGGGTCGAGACGACGAGAGATTGTGGAATAGGGAGGCGATGGGGTTTCTTTAGGTGAGACGAGGAAGAGGAGGAGGAGGGCGGCAAGCGAGAGGAGGCGCAGGAGGACGAGGACGAGGACGAGAGAGTGATCGAGTGCCGTCGGTCGGAGGGAGCGAGGAGAGCCTGGAGCGGCGGGGTATGGATATAAGACAGGTCGCCCTGGGTGCGGCTTTCGGCGCTGCGGTGGCCGTGAATGCTGCACTACAGTCGCTCCAAGATGCCGGCAGTTTCCTCATTCACAGTCCAAGTCCTGGTTCCAGAAGTCGGCCCGTGGACCTTCTGGACGCCACCACTCGCGATGCACGCAAGCGCCCTCTGAGTTTTGTTGACGATGTGGAGGAAGACGAGGACGATTTTGACGACTTCAAGGACGACGACGAAGATGAAGCCGCATTTAGCACCTTGGATGACGATGGTAATTGTCCCGCCCTCGCCCACCTCCTTCCGACACGCCATACTTTTTTTGCATGAAGGTTTCCTGATTTCTCTGTCATGCCGAAGAAAACGTGCATTCTGTACATAGAGCGGAAATTTTAAGATTTTTGACTCCACATTTGAAAGTTGTGCTATACATGGTTTCAATTATTATCGTAGACCTAAATATTCAACTGGAGAAACTGGTTGGCAGTAATTAAGACAGTGCTAGCCTTGACGGGCTGACATTGACCATGATCTAGTGCACACATTGTACCTCTTTCGTCCGAAACCTACGGATGTGTGAGGATTACAGCAGCGGTCTTCTTGTGTATACTCCATGTTGAACATTCATTGAAATTAATCGAACCAAACGAAAATCGTATGCTGCTGCCCATAACCTGGCACGAATTGCTGTGGCCGCAACTTGTTTGTGTGCGTCCCCATCTTGTTTGGTTTTGTAGGTGAACCTCTACTTCATCTGTAGATGTAAATATAGTTCTCGTGCTTTTAGAGCATTCGATCGTAGCAATACTAACTTGAGATATCTGAATGACCTGAAGAGCTCGGAATCTTATCTCCGATAGCGAACCATCGACATCGCTCAAAGTGTGAAGGTGTTCAGTTCCTGAAGACCAGAGATGAACAGAACACAAGCGGAGAGGATGCTGACTTGCAGCTGGAGCCATCGACTGCACCGGGAACTTGTGCGAAAAGGAGGAAGATTGAAGCACCCACGGTGTTTATGCCAAATTCGACTCCGTTGGGCCAAACAGAAGAGGCCATGTCCTTGATGCTGCAACACACCACCAACACTGTGCTGATCACACTGGCCGATGCGAAGGGGAGGAGAGAACGGATGATGAACGAGATGAAAAGCGTTCACCTTCCCGAGAGGGAGAGCTCTTTGAAGCTTGTCAACAGTTTCATCGATGCACTCATCAACGTCAGCGACAGTTTGAAAATTGTACAATCTGCTCTCTTCGTCAGGAAGGATGGACCGCCTTGACTGAGGATCACCTTGACTGACTGTGAAATTTAGTGCTTCTTATAAAATTTAAACTGCAACATGCCCTCGATTGACAGGAAGCATATTGATCCGCAAGAATGACAGAAACCTGTATGGGATAAAACCTTAGATCAGGTGTCAGACACCTGACATATGTAGGGGGCTTGTCCAGACGAACGTGAGATTATGTTCATCGAGCAATCTTTGCTCCCCGGCAGACCCTCAAGGAATTAAGCTGTCACCTCCAGGGTCGAATGCGCTGCTACTTTCTGAGTGGGGAAGGATTGTCCTCCTGGTGTAACAAGTGTTTATCTACGCCAAGTGCTTGTCGGCGAAAATGTATAAAAGAGATCCAAGCAGTCGACGTGTCGCAAAATTTTCACCTTCTACATGAACCCTTGCCTCATGGGCACACTGCGAGCGAACTGTTTAAACGAGGTCCAAGTGCCACAATTTGTTTCACCTGCACAAAAGCACCAAATGTCAACAGTCTGCCATTCGTATAAACCCCGGAAACAACCGAGCCTTGTGATGACACATAACATCTGTTCTGCATAGGATGTCAGTCACGCAAACAGTATCAATTTAACCTTTGTGCATATTTTTGTTGGCCAGAACAGATAATAGATTGTAGACAACCTGTGATCAAACACGTACTCTTTGCTGTGCGTTGTTCTGTCAGGACGTGATTGTGGACGCAAGAAGCTCGTACTAGTTTTTCCCTGCACAAGTAAGGTATGGACAGACAAACAATAAAGGAAAACTTATGTACTGTCAGAGCAAGTACTTTTTTCTGTCCTTATCACTTTACCTCCAGGAAACGACTTCACATCCCAGGCTGAAACCCCCAGATTTTACGATGAAACGAAAATAGTCCCCACCGAAGTCCTCGGATCAACTGTGTAGAATGACGCAGGCGTCGGACGATGGATACAGTGGCTTCTTTCCCTCTGACAAAGGAGACAAAGCGCCATTATCGACCGCAGTACGCAAGCTCACATCACGTGACCCGAACCAAAAGTAACGTCGACACATGACTGGCCATCATACCGGCGACAGCGGAGTACGTACGCGGCAATTCCCCCATCCAGGCTTGTGATTTCTACGTCAAAATCATTCAGCGGTGACTCTCTCTCTCTCTCTCTCTCTCTCTCTCATCATGCTGCGGCGCGAACGAACGAACGTATTTACTCTACGGCAGCTACGGAGCGCAGTCGACCGTACGTACTCGAAGGCAGTTGGTTTCGCCGAATGTACGATCCAGTACAGTCCTTGAGGATCTGGACAGTCGACGACAATGGTTCCGAAGCTTCCCCATCGTCCCTCCCTCGGCGCCTGTGCCGGAGGATCCGACACCCTAACCAAGGTCACCTTAAGATAGAAGGAAGAAGCTTGACGGAGAAGCTCCGTGGCTCAAGGAGCGAGACGAGGCCTTGCTCTTACTTACTCTATCGAGTATGGGGATCCGAGAAATGTCGCGGGAAGGGCATGTCCGGATTTCCTTCTTTCCCGCGAGAAACTGTCATCAACTAAACTGGTGGCCCGTTTGGCCATCAAATGTAGAGACGTCACCGCCGCTTTCATAGCGGGAACGCTTCGCGAGCAGCACGAAGTTTGGTGGGCTCGTTATGTAGTGGATGTTTTAGCTTAACCCTAACTTGGCCTGCTCTGCTCTCCGCACCACGAGCAGAGCGAGCGATACGAGCAGAACAGAGCGCGGGAACGTTTACAAAATTGCTGACGAGCGTTTCCTCTCGAGCGACATTGTTGCCCTGCGCGAGAGTCATTCCCGTTTGGGAGGAGGCAGGGTTTAGTCGGAAACCTACGGATGATCAATTTCTTGTTGATATTCGGCTCTTTTCGTTTGCAGCCCTTTGCATTTGTAGCGTGCAAATTGCCGACTGTTTGAAGCAATCGGTGGGAGTCAATCCCTTGTTGCGGTGATTGTTGAGGATCGGAATTTGCGTGGACGCAGGCGCCATTGCGCATTTTAGCCCACTTCATTCTTTTGTGGCATTCGAGTTTTGAGGACTGCACATTTGCGATCCCAACCGAGACTGCGGAATTTCTAGCCCTTATTTTAATCGGGATGGGAATTTCTCTGATGATTTTATGAATCTTGAGTTTTCATGTACTCCATGTTCAAGTCCCATACTAGAGCTCCCAGGTTTTATCCGGAGGTTTTGTAAGATCTTATTCATCCCAGACACTTGGATTTTTACGTTCGCGAGTCAACCGAATCTTTCGCATTATTAGATGGCTAGACGACGACGCTTGATACATGCGTTCTTCATGGTCTGATCATCAAACATGTCGCTGCCTCGGCTGAACCATTCTCCAGTCGACCTTAAAAATTGATTCTTTTTTTCTTTACGTCTTGAATTCATGCCCTTCGGATAACTGGTTACGATCAGACATAAGCAGGCCAGAACCCATCAGACCAGAATCACCTGTACCATACGAATTTTCAAGTCTGAAAGGTTCCAGCCTTGTGTTGAGAGAATGCCCAAATTTTGATCATCCAAGTGCAGACTTCGACGTTGTGCACAATGGGAAAACGCAAGTCACGAAATGAGAAGAAGGAGATTGAAGAGGAAGATCACTGCTTTCGAATGCAAGAGCAAATAGTGAGCCTGCTCCGGGAGAAGGTGAACCGCATTGAGGTTGAGCTGAATTATCTTCGTTCTCACCACAAATCCCTGTACAGAGTTTGGTCCACGCCAGCTTATCCCCCTGGTATGATCTATCTTGGTTCATACTGCAGCAGAGTGCATTTGTCTGATTTGTGCTGTTTTGTCCACATTACCCGCGATATGGAGAAGCATATGCCCGAAATCGCCCAAATTGTTAGTACTTGCAACTTTGCCATGTGTAGAATTTTGTATAAAGGGTGACTAATTGAATGAGGGTTGATGTATCTCATATAAATGGATTCGAACAGATGGTGACAACTTCAGGACTTGAGAATGGTGTGATTAATGGTCAAATTCAGTCACTGTCCATCACTTGTGCTTTTGGTGTCTCCTCTTACTTCCATATTGCAGGACTTCATGTTTTCGTTACTGGTTTCGTGTCGTAGGATATCTACCTGGGTCGTGGACTGCTTCCGAGGGTCGCGAGGAACAATTACTTCAAGCTGGTCAGGCTGTAATAACTGATAGGCCAGGTAATGCGCTGAACTTTAATAGCGCCGGCACGCAGCTGGATTCTGAAGGCACTTCTCTGTGCCGGACATGTTTCAGATCTGTTTGATTGTTTTGATTCCTGATCATGAGTCTACTGTTGCTCCAATGTTTAGTTCGTAGCCTTTGGATCCTGAGTCCTTGGTTCCCATTCAAGATGGCTGTGATTTGTACTTATAATTCTTCAAAATTCATACTATCAAGCGACGAACCGGATATTATAAAGATGATGAAGCTTTAAACCTATGATTTCGTTAACTCGATTGCGGGTTATGTACCCTCCTCTAGCCGATGTTTACGTTAAGCTTTTTCCTGTGCACTTTTCTTCCTTACGAATCCAGCTCTGTAACTCAATCTTAAGTATATTTCAGGTCAACGTGAAAGGAATGCGGAGAAGGCTGTCAAAGCAAAGAGGAGAAAGAAACCGAAAACCATCCCATCTGTTAATACTTCACCTTTACCGAGCCCTGAAGAACACCGAAGCTCGGATCAAAAGTTAAAGGATAGTGATTCAGATTCATCGAGGGATTCACCAGATTCATCTTCGGATTCAGACGTTGAGGATACAAAACATTCTCCGTTGGAGACAGTCACAACGGAGTCGGCTGTCAGGTCGGAATCTTCCAGTTCTGAGGACAGCTCCTCAGAAGACGAGAAAGTAGAGAAAGGAAAAGTTTCTGAATCTGATAGCGAAGATGAGAGTTCTTCAGAGTCTGAATATAATGAACCGCAGGCGAACCGTCCTAATGTTGCTATTAGAAACTTTCCAAATTTTCCTAGAGTCAATTGGGCGAATGAGCCTAGAAAAAGGCGGGCAAGTAGAGCTAGTTCTAGTTCTGATAGCGATTCGAACGATTCAGACGATAGTGCATCAGTGGTGGAAGTTGCAGAAGAGGTTGGAAACTTTATGCCCACGCACGAAAAGTATTTTCCTTTTATTCTTTTCATTGTCTTCTACTTTTCTGAAACTTAACAGCGCAGATCTGTATTGGACGGTTTCTTGATTTTTCAGATTAGATTTGGAGGGTTCTGGTTTGAACAAATGACTTGGTGTACGTTTCTCACGAAGGCGACATCTTGTAATTTTGCAGGATGTCCAAAAGAAATGCAAACAAAAGATGGATTCGCAGCAACTCCCAGCAAGAAATAGATCGGAGAATGAAGGTGTGGTCTTTCAGAAGAAAGGAAAAGGTCTCTCGAAGACTACTCCGGGTGTTGCAGAAAACACAGAAGAAGTGGAGTCTAAGAAGAAGAAAAATAAGGACTCCGCAAAATCTGCCGAGGCAACCAATTCAGTCATCGACAGCAAGGGTGTGGGAGGTTCTGCAGCATTAAGTTCCAACCTGGACAAACTTTCTGCGGATGCACCTCCAGAAGATATATTTGACTGGAACCTTCTTGGAGTTCCAGGTCCATGGGCTCAAGCAAACTCTTCGAGCTCCTATTATGACACTTGTCAGTGGCCGAAGCAGTTGACGTCTTTACCCTGTAAATTCGATAGTTTCGACGAATACATAGCGAGAAATCAATGGCTAGTCTTTGAGGAATGCAAGGCCGTTCTTGATCAAAATTGGGAACTTCTGCAGAGAAAAGGCGAGCCACGCCAAGCCAGTGAGTCAGATGCTTGCCCATCAGCTTGATTCTCCCTACCTTTTGACTCGTAAGATGTAGAATGATTGTTTTATGCAAGTCTTGTGGAAGATATCATTTGTTAGCCAGTTGATGTTTATCGAATTTACTCATTGAAGGCGTACGTTGTTTGAACTTATCGTCAGCTGGCGTTGGCTCAGAAGACTCCGACGAGAATTTAGAACCACGGATATTTCATCTTCGTCCCATGCACCGTTGTGCCAATGATTCTTTCAACTTTTTCGAATTATCAGCATCGGATGTTCGACGTTTTCAGATAGACACAAGTGATGTGTTACTTCTACAATTTCCCAAGTTTCCGACGATGAAAGTCCTGGCTTGTGTCAGCAACTCAGGAGACAAGTCAGCCTTACTGAAGACTCGAGTTGACTTGCAGTCTTACGGCAGTAAGGTCTGTTTGATACGCATTTTACTTCTTGATTTGTCTTCTTAAGATTCGTAGTCGATACTAAAAATTATGTTGGGATATCGGCAGGTGACCTCATTGTTTGTCCTTGTCTGAACAAGACTTGGGTTCCGAAGTGAGCCCTGTCGATGATGTCATATAAGTACTCCTGCTTCTAAGTATATAGAATATACGTTCTTTGCATTTACGGAAGGTTTTTTGTATCTGTGAACGCAGTGCAAGATTGCAAGGATGAGCAACATGGTGACTTTGAAGCGCCAGTTTCTCGCTCTGCTTAATGTCACAAAATTACCCCATTTTCTACGGCAGCAGATTTTGGATCCCCTTCCCAACATTGCCTGCACAGTCAACCCGCCAAGCGACGAGTGTTTAGACGAGAATGTCCTGCTCCCTTCCGGCATGAACAACACGTTGTTGACATGGAAAGAGCATGGCATATTCAACAACAGGCAGCTTTTGACTATGACAGCCCTTCTACAGATGAAGCAAGGCGCTCTTCTTGTTCAAGGTGACTTTTCTAACTAGAAGTTTTAGCACGAACCTCTTCATCCCTCGAATAAACGCTTTTTGGTCCCACGAACGTTGAGTTGGTGTAGCATGTCGAATGGCTTCATTGTTAAGCTTATGAATCATTCTAAGTTGAAAAGTTCAAGAGTACTGCTTTTTTTTATATATAGTAGAAGGACTCTTTTCAAGCCTCCAACTGATTACAGGTTGTTGTTCGTTGTTGGCAGGTCCTCCAGGTACAGGAAAGGTATGAAGTTTTGCTGTTGTCACCTTGGAAGCATAATATTCACAATTGTATAACCTATGTCAAGTCAGATTCAGAATGGTTTTTGCTACTCGTGGAATATATTTGGGTGTTGCGGTCAGGGATGCAACTTCAACTGGAAAAGAAACTCGAGTAACAAGACTGCCATTAGTGAGCATGTGCAGTTTATATCTGGGTGTAGCAATCGCACTTGAAACATGAATGTCAACTTCTTGTGCTTTCTGATACTAGTGACTCTAGACTTGCGCCTTATCAGTTTCTGTCGTTGTTGTGCATGTTCAATTTGGAACGGCTATGATCTCTCCTTTTTCTCCTGTCGCCAGACGTCAACCATAGTCGGTATGTCCTAGCCTGATACCTGGCTTGTTCTCACCAGGAAGCCGTGTGATGTAGGAATAATTTGTTATTTTTGTGCATGAGACAGGGTGAAAGCAAATCAGACAAGCTCATTTGTGCAGATTAATGTCTCTCTTTTCTTCAAATTAGCACAGATAATGTTGCAGTAGTAATTTTTTGGACGTGGAGTTTTTTTTGCGCTGTTGGTAACAACTTCTATGCAGCAGCTTTATGCTATATTGCACTTATGAGATGTGTAGTGCTTTTTGTGTTCAAGAATTGATCGTGCCTGATCGAAGCTCTCATTTGTTTATTGTGTTCTTCAGGTTTGATTTCGGCTGTATGTATAGAGGAGCCTGGGTGCGTTCTTTTCCAACACCCCTTCTTCTATCAAGCCTTGAATCTCAAGTCAATTATCACTCAATAATACCCAATAATCTCAAGTCTAATACCTAGTTGTTGATATAACTAGAGTAAACACAAGGCAACTTGAATTTGATCCAATATCTGATTAAATATCGTGCTGTTCTGATGCAGAGCGAAGGTCCTTGTCTGCGCTGCATCTAACGCTGCCGTAGATGAGATCGTTTCCCGACTCATGCACACCATGCTTGACAAGGAAGGAAAGCTATATTCACCGAAATTAGGCACTTTGGTTCGTGTTGGAGTTCAAAAGTCAGTGCAGGTAGCGTGCCAGCCTGTAACAATGGACGCTCTCCTTTCTAAGGGTTCCAAGGGTTCGAAGGGGACAGCCAAAACAGAAATTTTTTCTGAAGCATCGATCATATGCTCCACTCTGAGTGGGAGTGGACATCCTTTGTTTGAGGAGTGTAAACAGAAGTTTGACCTCATTGTACTCGGTGAGTATGTTCATAGCTACTTCACAACAGGCGTTTTTGGGTACGACTTGACGTTTGAGGTTTATTTATCCTGTTTTGTCTTACTCGGAACGTTTCCTTATCTTTTGCTGGTATCTACTGTTGCAAGGGCGGACTTTGAGATATCCTTGAATCTTGTTGACTCTCTGAGTAAACAGATCGAACACATTCTTTGGTACACATTTAGTAATGATCAACTCTTTTACTGACTGTGCTTTTGTTGCCATTTGATTTCCGGCCTCCCCTTGCGCAGACGAGGCAGCGCAGGTAAATTGGATGTCCACAGTTTCTCAAAAGCTTTTCTAGGGATGAACTATGTCTGCAAATATTTCAGCATGCGCGATCGTTTAGTCCTTCAAGTTATGAGGCTTTGAAGCTTTTCCTGCATGTTAAGTTTCAGATTCACGCACGAAGTTTATGACGTCAACAACATAAACGACTTGTAGCGCCGTCTTGATCTAACAGTGGCTTTGATATCGTCTAGGCTGTGGAGTGCGAAACATTGATTGCTCTACAAAGAGCCAAAGGCCGCGTTGTAATTGTCGGAGATCCATGTCAACTGCCAGCAACCGTTATACAGAGGCCAGGTTAGAATCTTCTTCTGCTTGATCCGGTTTCAGGTTTTCTTACTCTTTCTTGTTGTTCTGTATTATGACGCAGCATTTGATGTATTTTGATGTCGAGCTTTTGAACATGACACAATTCAGGGACGGCGTACGGAAGAAGTCTTTTCCAAAGAATGCAGCAAGGGGGGATGCAAACTTTTTTAATGACTACTCAATATCGTATGCATCCGCAAATCTCCAAATATCCATCTGCGAGTTTCTATGGTGGTTGTCTCAAGGACTCTAAGTCAGCTCAGTGCATGACTTCAATTTTCAAACAAGACGCTTGTGACACCGGCATAAGCTGCGATGGGTACACTTTCAGGCTCGGACCATACTGTTTCCTAGACGTGTCATGGGGTGAGGAAGAACTCCAAGCAAGAGGTCATTCAATCTCGAATGTCGAAGAGGCGGAGGTCGTTGCGAAAGTGGTGCATGGTGTAGTCAAGAGCCTCAAAAATGGAAGAAAGGCTGATATTGGTGTAATAACACCATACTTGGCCCAACGAACAACAATATTGTCGAGTTTGCTCAAATATAAGATAGATGACAGTGTTTGCGAAGTTAACACGGTGGATGGTTTTCAGGGTCGAGAGAAAGATGTAATAGTATTGTCATGTGTAAGGGCGGCCACTGAGAAAGGCCTTGGTTTTGTCTCTGATGAAAAACGCATGAACGTAGCTTTGACGAGAGCAAAGCACTCCTTGATCATTGTCGGGCATGGGAAGACTCTCAAGACCCAAAGCACAACGTGGAGTGCTCTTTTAGAAGATGCAATGTCACGGGGTTGCTACCAGGTGCTGCGCAATCTCGGAGGAGCGAAGAAGAGTTTAGAGAAATCACCCCCTGTGGAACCAACTGCCCCAGGTGTAAGTGAGAGAGCAGCCAAATTTCATTCAGCCCAAACATCTCCTGTGAAGAAGCAACAGGCTGGGTCCAGTAAGAAGCCACAAACTGTTCCTAATCAGGCAAGTTCTGTGCCTGCTTCGGTCAAATTGGAGCCAGCAACTTGTGATTTTGCTCATCACTTTCCCAACTGTGGTCACAACCCACACGGCGGTGGCCAGCTTCCTGCCTCCGTGGGTGCGGTGAAGAGGACACGTGGTGCAGTGCGCATCAACGGACCTAACGGACATCAGTGTGGTGGTACATCCAGAAGAAGAAGGTTCGGAGGACTTTCTGAGCACGTTGGAGCAGCACCTTCGAACATACACACTGATTTTGGCCATGTACCGTGTGAAAACCAACACCAGAAGTTTGCAGCACCGCCTCAAGGATACGATCATGGTAGGCCTTTCTTAGAGCCTCATATGCTCTTCGCTCCCCTCCATGGCGGACCTTGGCACCATACACCAGGGATCGCGGATCAAGTTCCACCCTTTTGTAATCCCCATGCCAATAGAGGTAGAAGGTAGTCTACCAAACTTCTTGGAATGATAGTGATCTCTTAAATTCTGTACATTGTCACATTCATCATTTTTCCCGTAAGCATTGCCTCATTGAGTTCGCGTACTGACCAAGTACTTGCTAACTTCGACCATGTTTCACTTTTTCCCCAGCTTTTACCGCTCTCTTTGCTTTGGTTCTGTTTTCTTCGCACATGTTGTTGGTCTTGGATTATACATAATCTGCTCGTGTCTTTTTATGCTGTTCTCCTCTGTCTCCAATGAAAAAGTTTACACCTCCACATCTTTCACGCTGCGTCTTGTACTATCCAATGACGGCACTAGTCTGAAATTTCTTGTCCTCCGTGCAAGGAAGGAATACTTCTTGCTAAATTGTTGCCCTTTCATGTGATCTAGGAACTTCTTCCACTACTGTGGCTGCTACCACAGGAGTAATAAAATTACAGAAAGTGCAATATTTGATTCGCTCTGATCGCGTGAAGGAGTTGTGGGTTCAAAAATCTGGTACTTGGGAGAAAAACTTCCCAATCTCCAAAGTTCATGGTGTTCATGTGCATCCCGTCACGAACCAAGCCTCTAGCCATCGGTGAACGAATACCCATCATCTATCACATGGACCAGACACTGAAACAAATGAACTTTGCTTGTACACTCACATTCATTCCATGAGGAGAACGATCCTCTGCACTGCCAGAGAGGAACACGAACGAAGCGGGATCCATAAGACTCATGCCCGAAGTGCTGCTCGTCTAAAACTGCAACAGATAACGAGCAGATCGATCATTCAGCGACAAGTCCAGTAACAGGATCAGGGCGACCGAAAACCAAAACAAGCGAAAGAAACCCAGACAGAATAAATAGCTCACACAATGTCCCCTTCGGCTCCCGTATATAAGCAACGTCTATAGCCGACCGTGTCTTGCCAACTTCGTCGTGGTCCGTGTGTCCATGCAAACTACGTTTCAGGAGCACCGAGTCGGCGGGTCTCGTGGTCATGCTAAGGCAGGAACCGCCAACGCCGTAGTCCAAGTTCTCAGCTACGTCCGTCTGGTCGGTGCTGAGTTGAGTTAGGTGCTCGACCACATCCACTTGGTCACGGAATTACGTCGTTGCCTTGCAGCCATAGTCCTCCAAGGGTAACCGAGTTAGCGTGCTTCAATGCTGCTGCTATCCTCTCTAGGGCTGGACAGATGTGCACGAGAGTGTTTCCAGGCTCCGTGGAATTGCCGGGATTTGAACATTCGAAGTGCCCGAATTTGGATGTGGATCGTCGAGAGGAGATTCAATTGAGTCGAGGGATGGCGTCAGCCATGGCGAGGACGCTCTCGGTTTGTCGGGCGTCGTCTCTTGCCCGAGTATCAGGAGCTTTGAGCCAGAGCAGCAGCAGCAGCGGCAGAAATTGGACGAGGAATCGTTGCGGAGAATTGGTCGGGAATGGCGGTGACTGGCGTTTGATGAGGTTTTTCTGTAGAGAATTCTCTAACGAGAGGAGGGTGAGGGCGATTGCGGCCCGTGGCCCGGTGCGCATCGTGGCCGCTACTAAACGAGGAGCTGCTGCAGCTGTTAGAGAGCAGGTGGAGGATGAGGAAACTCAGGATGACGAGGACGACGATGATGCGGAGGGGAGGGAAAAGGAAAAGCCTGGTAGGAATGTGCTGAAAAAGCAATCCGCCAGAGCTAAAGAATGGGGACGTGAATTGGCCGCTCTTTCCCCGGCTCAACTTCGACAAGCTTGCAAGTATGGTTATGTCTTGACGAGGCGAATCGTTGTTGTAGTTCTCACACACGGCAATTTTGAGTCTGAGGTCTTGAAGAAATTCAAAATGTCAACGATAATGGCAGCCCACATTTTCTGATATGATGCAAAGTATACTCGTACAATTCGGGGCTTAAATTTCGATTCACCCTCGATTGATGCCGAATCCGCAAATAAAACTAGTATCGTGAAGCAGGTGCCACTTCACTTCAATCTTATTACTAGGTCCTTGCTCAGCAGCATATCAAGAATACTAGAAGAAGGAAATTGCAACAATTGGCACATTGTTGAGTTTGACTTACTCGTGATCATAAACTGAATCAGAAACGTTTGCACTCCTATCAGGTGGGCAGGTTTGGACGAGGACGTGTACGATGCTGTCATGTTAGTCAAGGTAACTTTGATCTTGGTGTTATCTATGCCAATTCTGCTGACAAGACGGCATCAGCTTCGCAAATTATATGAAGCTTTGTTTCTCTTCTTCGTTGTTTTACCCAATTACTTAAGGAGAGCCAGTCTGATGATCTTTGCGGTGCAGAATCTTGGAAGCAGCTCGAGGGTGAAACACGGCAGACGCAGACAGTACAATTACATAGGTGCTTCCTGAGTCAATCTCTGCAGTGACGACGCACCTAACATGGTGACGAGCTGATCCAAACTGATGCATATCCCGACCTGATTGATCGATGCTACTTCCTGGCGTTTACCTCACCCTGAACAAACTCGATCTGAGCTGTGATCATGAATGTATCTCATCCCTTTTCAACGGGCCCATGAAAAATCTGCTGCCCAACCTTTTCGCACGAACTGGGTTCACTCATCCATTGGGGACAGAATTCTTGTCGTGAACTTTGATAAAAATTGTGGATCGATTTGCAATCCAATCAAAGCGCCAGGTTTATATGAAAGCAGGGGACTGCACTCCTCGGTCTATGTACCCTGATTTCAAGATACTGCATCCTAATATGGTTTTCTGCTTGGGAATAAAGGTGGACTTCTCCGTGACGCTGATGCTGAAACCATGGAGTCCGTTCTCAAAGCCACCAAAGACGGTGATGTTGAAGGTCTCGTTTTCATACCATCTAAGCTGCCAGAGGAAGTGGATGCTGAGGCTGGATGGGATGAGGAGTCCGAGGAGGAGGAGGAGGAATCAGAGGTCTTTTCTGCAGCAGTTACTGATCTTTAGAGTGACACTTAGTTTGTGACATTCAGTTTGTCCGTTAGTCCATGAGTGAATTTCTTTACGTAGGGGTTTAGGGTCTTGCTTCTTTGTGGGTGGTTCAATGCCAAGACTTCACGCCTGTACATCTTTGTAGATGGATTATCGCTGACAAAGAATGTTGCATGTTATATCGCTCCAGGAAGATGATGCCGCACTCGAAGAGGCAAAATCATGGGTTCAAGGTATGGTAGCAGGGGTGCGAGCTGTTGAGGACGAAGTTTATTCTATATACGATGTCGAATTCGATCGCCAGGTATTTTACGAGAAAAGCTTCATTATCATGATTAACAGAATTCCTGCCGTTGATCTGCACGGTCTGGAAGAGCCTGCACATCTTTGACTGCTGGCGAACCACTTTTACATGATCCTCGTATTTTCTCAGCCTACTTGAGCTCAATCTTTGCATTTTCCTCTTTCTCAGGAGCTACGGAAACTGGTTCGTGAAGCTCGGACATTCGAAACTGAGGCTTCTGCAGCCTCGGGCGATGCTGGAGAAGCAGAGGGAGGGGTAGAGGTCTCAAAAGAAGAGCTTTCAGCCTTGAAGTCTAAGTCTGAAAGAGCTGAAAGGAAGCTGCTGCAGTTTTTACTGAAGATAGTCAAAGAGAGAAGGGATAATGTATACTACACTGACGTACAATAGATAAACACTTCATTTAAAACGCCTCTCCCATAATGTGTTTAGTGGTCCTTCTGCATTGTAAAATAATTTGCAGAGCGTGGGGCTTCTTCGTTCTGGGAATCCTTAGAAAGGGAAATGCCTCTGTAAATGTTCCGTTAAGTTTATAAACTACCAAGGAGTCCATTTGATGTCTACTCTTGTTGTGGCCTCGGCTGAATCACAATCAGTCCCGAACAGTGGTTTACTCGTTTGATTTGACATTCCCCTTCATTTCTTCCTTTTAGAGCAATACGTTGTCGTCGAATGGCATATATCTGGCTGATCGTTTACAGAAGGATTTTTAGTCGTAAACATCGACCAGTCTGGTCCTGATGGGATCTTGCTCCCGGTATGATCACGGGCACCACCTTCCATCCTTAAGTAAACGGTGGAGAATCTCTACTCCGAACACAAACAGCGCAGACCTTGCAGGCTATGTCATGCTTTCAGTGGAAGCCAACGACTTAAATCGTACATCACCGAATGACGTACGATTTAAGTCGAATGGCTGGTTCTCCGAATGAAGGGTGACAAGCAACCATCAGTCTTTTTTCTTACAGTCTTATGGTGGAAAAATTGGATAATTTGGAGGAGCATGTTTTATTTAACTTAAGGTTTTTCCAAATTAGGAGTTAATTATATGGCTACTCCATCCACTTTGCTCCTCTATCTCTCTCTCTCATCCATCCATCTTCGACTAAAGGCAAGTCGAAGATGTACAAGCATCGTACAGAGTTTGACTTGACTCTGTACGACGCTCGTATAGATACAGAAGCACACTGGACAACACCACCCGTCTCCAAGGCCCTGGGGTCAATCCTAGCACCATTTGCTCCGGTGAATCCCATTCCAGAACTCAGATGATGTGCCCAGAGCTGATCGTCAGCCACCATGTCGTCAGGGAATCCCGATCTGGAGCTCGGAGGTGTAGTAGAAAACAAGCAGCAGTGGGAACTCTGGGATCCCGACACATTGTGGCATGTGGTCCTCCAATTCTTCCGAAGGGTTCGCATCCTCTTTATCACAGGGACGTACTCAGAAAGCCCACGAAAAGTGCAGCCAAAAAGTGCAGATATACATCACTGTAAGTGTGGATTCTTTGAAACTCCTTGCAACTGGATGGATGCGCTTTTGGGCGGTGGTGCGTGCAAGAAAATCGCTGATTGCTTTCACCAATTCAGCGCTGTCCATCAGCATCTTTTGTAAATGCCAGATCAGATTTGCAGGTACCAGACCCAGTAGTTTCAGCCTGAGACATGACTCACTGGTTTGTTGGGACTTTACGCGGCAGAAGGGGACTGAAGTCTGAGGGCAAAAGATCTCGTCTAATTGCAGCAAGTTGCTGAAATGTGCTGCGGTTCCTGCTCCGTTGCAGTCGCTAGCCTTGGCCTGAGCTAGAATCGGGATCTGCAAAGCACTAACTCCTGGATTCAAATCTTGGGTAGATTATGGCACCCATCGGAATCAGCAGTATACAAAGCCTCTGAATCCTGTCATTTAAAAAAATTGAGCTCATGTGTTTTCCGAGGTCAAGCACAATTCGGATCCTGGTCTTTTTAGGCTAGCCGAGGTCCGCAGTCTTCAAGCTCTTATTAGTAGAGCTCATGGCTGCGTGTGGTCGAACACTTGTGTCGAAAGTCCTGTGAAATGTACTTTGCTGTCCATTCTCAAAGTCCATCCTTCCAACGCCTCCGATTCCTGCCGAATGGTTCTGTCAGTGAGTTGACTGAATTCAGCTCAGTTGAACCTCACACCAACTCCATTGCACTCCGTTCCAATCCAGCCCGTGCTCGTAAGGACGAGGAGGGCAGTAGAGCGTGCACGCTTTGGACGTGCGAAGTGCTACAGAGCTCAGCCAGAGCCCAGCTGACCTCTGTAACCTGATCATGTACGACAGAATGCTGCAGATTCGTCATCTGAGCATACCCAACACCTCCATACCCGTACAGCTGCAAGCTGCAAGCTGCCGGTGGTCATGAACGAAGCAGGCTCGAGCAGGTGGCATCTTTTGTGCATTTCTGCTGCAATTGAAATCCAAGGGATCCATCTCAGGGCCGCTTGACGGGCTCATCTCACCTCACCACCCCTCCAGCAGTAACAGCAGAGCCCAGAATCTCCTCAGGCTGCGGAGTACTGGTCTTGTTCTCTTCACCCGAGCTGGTCCAAGAGAGAGACATGTGTGGGATGGGGTCCAGGTGTTCCGAGAGCTCGAATTGGAGTAGTGTGGAGTGTAGCAAAGCTTAAATGCTTCTTGAGAGAGAGGGTATCGGAGAGACGGAGTCTGAGACAAGAGACAAGAGCCAAGCAGCGGTGGGGCCAGCAGCAGAGCAGAGCAGCAAAAAAGGGTGCACAGTGGCCTAATTCCTAATCTCGTAATGGATGAAATGGACAAAAGGGCCCGTCTTTGTACCTTGGTCTGTTTTGGTACGAGCCTCTACGTGATTGGCCTCGCTGCCATCGAAATTGCAGTGGGTCAGGGTCTGTGCTCCCGCATTTTGACCCGTCTGAGTGCCAGACTCGAGCCGTCACCGCCTGCCTTTGGCAATCGACGGATCGAGGTCACTGAAATTTTGGTCTTTTTTGGCGTCCGATCCGAAGGAGCTTTTCCTCCACACTAGGGAGGGAGTCTATGCTGCAGCATTAGTCCGAGCTGCATTCCCCGTGTCTCTTGTGGACCGCCCCAGCAGGCAAGCCCAGCCAAAGGGCATGGGACAAGGAGAGGGCTTCACAGTGAGCTGAACCTTGAACGAGATTTAGGGGACAAGACACGGCAGTACGGGAAAGGACACGAACACTGACTGGCTCGAATCGCCATCGTCGACTGCGATGGAGCTCTTTCGCGACCCATTCAACCACTCGTCCACTGTCAATGTCCAATCGTGCCCGCTGGAACATTGTCACCTCTGCAGCAGATGGCAGATGTCAAGCACTGCCTGTCGGGCCTTGCAGGGTCTGATGCTTTGAATTCTTCTATGCTCGAATCCGGCGCAGCAGTGCCGACCCCCACACCTCCACCCACAGTTACCAATTCTAGGAACAGCAAACAAGTATCGATCAGCTGAAAGATAGTAAATCCAAAACTTCAATGAATTTCTTCAATGAAGTCTTGCTCCTTGGTCCAGATCTCAACCCCTCCATCCGACACGCATTTGCGGCAAGCCTGGTCTTCTGATCTTTTCCTGCACAGTAAGATGTGGCTCCTCAGATGCAAGGTCTGGCACCATCCTGGACCTGGGAGTGAGATGGGATGGATGCAGGCTGGTCTGTAGATCACAGCAAGATAAGAGGAGCTGCTGGTAGAGTCCGATGGATGGAAGAACGGACTGTTCAGGAGGTAGAATCAAGGATACTGGAAATGTTTTCGAATCTTGAGGGAGGTGGCATCAGGCAGGCATAGCTCCTACAGGCTCATCGCAGTGTGACAAAGGAAGATTCCTGCACTGTGCGATGATTGAGTGAATGAGCACCTAGGCTTGTCATGTAGCGGCCCAAAGGGTGTCCATGAAAGGATTTGGCTGTAGCAGTGGCACTATGCATGGGCGGATTCGTATACTGCTGTGTTTGTTTGTTTGTGAGTGTGTGGGTGGATGGATGGTGGGAGGAGTGACTTTAGGCGACTGGCGGCACAGACAGATTGGATCCGGTTGTTCTGAAGAGAGTGTATCATATTTGTGAGCAGCCTCGTTTCTCCGAGACAGTCCTCACGTACTTCATTGTTGCTTAAGGTTCCATGTCCACGTACCTCCTCCTCCTCCTCGTCTTGGAACTTCTGTCCATTGATACGCGTGGTGCATTCGGCAGAGTCTCCTGACCCATAGTGCTACTTCTGTGCACTTGCTGCCTCTCATCTCGTCGTCTTACAACGTTGGCCGGCTGATTGTAAGCTCCCTTGCCGGCCAGGATCCGGTACACGTGCTCTTGCCACTCCTCTCATGTCTGCTCGCTTCCTATATCTAGCTCCCCCTCCCATTTTCTCTTCCTATGGGGTGTGGTGTCAACGACAGCAGCAGCGCCAGTAGCACTTTGCGCCGAGGTTTGTGCTCACCCTCTTTCATTTCACAACCCCCTCCCTCCCGAGTTCCAACATGCATCATCACCTTTCTCCATCCCGTGATCCATGTGCACAGTCTCTCACGATCAGCTGCTTGGTTTGGTCCATGTTTCCACGTGTGAATGCATGCAAGCAGTCTGTGAACTTGGCAAGTTTTAGCTCAACACATGTATGAAGTGTCCATGTTCGGAGCCATGTTTAGAGCCATGATGCGGACACTTAGATCACGAAGACCTTTAAAGTAGGTGGCAGCTGCACACAGCCAGTACAGAAAGTCGATGGGAGCCACATTCAGCAACAATTGTGCCTCTGCTAAGTTCTTCTGACAGTTGCACGCTCATTCTTATCTGAAGGTTTGGAAGTAGACAGTCGACCATACGTGGGTGGGATCGAGTCTGGCATTAGCTTGGTTCTGAGTCTGACGAGGGGAAATTTGTACCAAAGCAGCAGGTGCCTGATCAGAGCAAGAACCGCACTGCATGGCACATCGGAAACTGCACTACACTGACAGGATGTGGACCGTACGAGGTAAACATGTCACAAGCTTTAAGTTTCATTAGAACATATCATGATTTGTTGGCGAGGAGTGACAGTTGTCGGTTAGTGAAACTGGAGTTGGGAATAGAGCTCTTTGCTATAAATTCAGGTCAGTGAGTCTGTAGATTGGACTTCGAACATGTGCAGGAATACCGAACAGACGCTTGCTGAGCCCAAATGAGGGAAGCCTGTATGGATCCTCTCGGTAACAATAATACATGGAGTGGACGTGAGCTCCAGTATATGCTCGATGAGCAGTAGTGACTGAATTTGCAATCGGTCGCTGCCAGTATGAGTTATTGGACATATCTAGCAAATTGAGCTCCACTTTGCCCTGTGGCACGTGGTGCAGTGAGCAGGTTGTCTTGGAAATTTTAGGGACAAATCGGTCTTTAGAAATTTAGTTTGAGCAACTTTTCTGAAGACTTCATGTATTTCATACATTCCAGGCACAGATCTCGATGCAAATTTGAATCATGACGGATACGATCCGACAGTGAGTCCAACAACACCTTTACAATTCGGCAGTCCTGCATCCAACAAGCGACTCGGGGTCTACCCTCGAAGCCAGTCGATGAATGGACGAATACAGAAATCCAACTTCTTTCGGAGTCAGTCATTCAACGGTGGAGCCAAAGGTGTTAAAGCAACGTACCGTGGTCACCACTCGGATAGGCCTCAAACTCAACTGCTCAACTACATGAATTCTAGTGGTAAGGACGACCACCACTCACAGCGTTTGTTTGTCACTTGTTTGCTACATGAGGAGCCTATTCTTGCTCACCGCAGGATTGTAATTTTTGCTTGACTTCCGCGTGAAATCTTGAAGATGAGCTATGCCTTAAGCTAGCTGGGAATCAGAAACTAACGAGCCCATCTGAGCTGCTTTTCTTCGAGCATATGAGAGCTTGTAGCATCTGTTTGGTGTCAAGTGACAATATTGAGCTGACATGGCTGCAGGCATGGATCAACAGAAGGTGGTTCTGATGCTCGAGAAACTCAGAGAGATGTATGCCGCAAGTAGGGATCAGCAATTGCAGCAGCTGCAGCAGCAGCAACAACAGCAACTAGCTTCTGATCACAGCAGCCAAGTGAAATGCTCCCCTCCTCGCACACCCTTGCGCATGGACGATCCACCCGTGGAAGCCTCAACAATAGCCTTGCTTCAGCAGAAGTTTGCTCAGTTGGAGAGGTATAAAGAATCTGTCCATGGTCAGAATATCCAGCTCTACCCGTTGAGTCAGAATCCTGAGAGTACTCAACACCAGCAAGCAGCACCTCCCTCCAACACCCGCAGTGGCTTCTACTATCCAGTGGACGATACATTAGCAGCTGCAGCACAGCAACAGGTTTTTTTATCCCTGTCCAGATCGACCGCGGCCAAGTCTACAGGAATTGCGGATGAGTCGTGGGAGTTCTCAGATGCTTATCCGAAGCAACAGGCTGATAGTGTTCCGTCCGGGCCCAAAGATGCCCCGAACTCTCCCTGCTGGTCCAGAGACACCAGCAGGCCTACTGCTTCTAACAATTGCAAATTTGCTGCAGCTGATAACATGAACGCTTTGCTCCACTACATGCTGCTACAGCAACAACAGCCGCCCCAGCCACCGTCCATGACTAGGGCCAACTGTAACAGCGTTCACCAGCAGAACCTCACAGCGTTCCAGAAGATGGACCTGTCCGGAGCTATGATGTCAGGACCAGGTGCAGGAAGGGAGCCCATGTTTTCTTCCGCTCGAGACTCGACATCACCTGAGCTTGGGCTTGATTTCGGTGGCTTCAAGGAACCTGTCATGACCAACAACACCAACAACGTAAATAGTAGCAGCGGCAGTAGTGGCAACTTTCTCTTCTCTACCAGCAGTCCTCTGCACATAGCTGCAACGAGAGCGACAGCAGCCAAGCAGCTCCCAGAGGGCTGGGGCGATGGGCTCAGTCTGCTGACGCGCACACCGACTTCGTCACCTGCTTCTTCTGGTGGCTGGGGGAGTGAGGCTTCCGATGCATGGCGCAGCAGCAGCAGTAGCAGCAGTGAGTCCATTCATGAACGCGAACTTTACACCGATCCTATTGATACTTCTCTTCACTTATGAGTTCCCATATCACGGATGGATGGATACCTGTTGTATATTTAGCTTCGAATGTTGCTCCCAGCCTTCTTGTACTATACTATTCTTCTCCATCTCCAGGCGGGATATAACTGAACTGAACTGGACTGGACTCAAATCTTACACTTTTTGGATTAAGGCGAGCTTGTTGCAGTAATATTTTTCTATCTCCTTGGTCTTGACATGCCGATGCTGACAAAGAAGAATCCCTCACGTACCAGCCTCGGGTTGTACTTTTCTAGAGATGTTCTCTTTCCTCGCCGAAGAGGAGCAGTTGTAGGAGTACGAGTTTGACAACTCGTTGATGAACTCATCACTTCGTAGCCCATGTCCTCAAGAGGATGTGATGCATCGATCCATTTTTGACTTCAGCGAGCTTCGCATGACAACCGTGCAAGCATACATAGTTGTGAGTGAGTTGAGACCCTTATGATCAGATGGGCCTCCAAATTCTGTATCATAGACAACTGTGAAGCAAGATCGTTAAGTGAACATGTTTCAGCAACCGATCCGTTCCTCCCGGATCGGTTAACTTCTTGTCATCATGGCGACAGTGGTCAGCTGAATCTCTGACTCTGCCCGTCCGTGTCGAACACTTTAGAAGACACTTCCTGTCCGGTGACCAGAAACATAAGCTGTGTCGACTTCGATTTCGACTTCGACTTCCTGTAACGCATATAAATTTTATTTTCCTGTAAAATGCTGATCCCTCAACTGCACCGAGTAGCTGCTTCCCCATCACCAGAGCTGGTAGATGATCATCTTCGTTCATTTTCTTCACTCAGTCTTGACGATCCGAAAGCTTCTGTTTGGAAATAGGTATAGTACCCAGATGTAATATTCTTGGAACGGGTGACAAAGGCTTGTCCTTCAAATTTGTACATAGCAATCAGCTTACCTCAGCTGGAAGTGAATTCACATCGAAGCTCTGCCAGGGTGGACGAGAAAGTGCCAGTATTGAATACAGAAGAGTATCGCATTGGCGGATTTGATGCCATCATTAGGAATCCTTTTTCTTTTTCTGTAATTTTCAGATCATGATCATCGTAGTTCGGCTGGTCTGTATGTATCTGCCACCTTCTGAGAGGGATTCGCCGGAGCCAGATACTGGGACGTTGACCAAGTGTACTATGTGAAAGTAATATAAGAGTTGAGTTGGAATTATTTCACCTTGTGGACGTATATGGGATGGTGCCAGCAAGAATCAGAAACAGTACCTGAAAGTTCGTCTGTGTTACTAGTGTTTCCAACCTCCCGTTTACTTCCTGTGTCATGCTTCTGCATGTTTTATACGTCATCAACTCTCGTCTGTTTGAAGATCGTGACCGAAGAATATAATTGTCGGTCACAGACCCATTTACTTGCACTCCTCATGCGAGGATGTATCGGTCCAATTAAATCAGCCGAACTCTCGATACTTCAGTCTGTCATAATCTCCACAGTAACACACGAAATACAGAATATGGAGATAAAAGTTGTCTAGTGTAAGAAGTGGAAATGTCCCAATGCAGGCATAAACAAGCTTTGATTTCTGAAGTGCCGGCGAATGGAAGTAATATAACAGAGTCTTGCATAATCTCCTTACAAAAAGTTAAGATTTGTGGTATACAGCTGTAGCTCACACGGAAAGCTGAATCTCGCATACTGATCTGAAAGTACTTGCTCTGGTCAAATCTGATGTTAGTTGGGATTCGAGGATTGTTTCAATCCACCGACGAAAAGCGCTAAGAAGAGCCAGCGCCTCGGGCACCGCTCTCTCTGACCTCTGCGTCAATGATCTGGACATAACGTAATCAACAATATCAGACCTCTGAAATATGGATGTAGCCCGGTTACCCTACAGCACATCTTGTCGAATGCTCTGTGCAAAAGTTCCGATGGTGCACATATCGTCAGCCCTTGGCATGGTCTCAAGCATGTGACTCTCCCTTGAAAAGCAGGGCACCTCGGGACTTGATACCGGAAGGATCTGGAGAGTTTCATGCCACTCCCAAGGACATTCCAAATAACTGGTTGCTCAAAATAAAGGTCCACCTCCTCCTGAATAAAAGACTCCAGGTTAGAGAGAATCACTGAAACTATTTGCAACAGAAGTCAATATTCGTGAACTGGACCTCCTTTTGGAAACAGTTGCCTGTGATTGCGTGAGGCAAGATAGAGAAAACCACAGGACGATAGTGTAGATAAAAGGTGAGAATGAAGTACACAAGAGGGTGCACGAGATTGACAAGGTAACGAAAAGCTTAAGCGAGATTAACCCGAAGGCACTTAGAACTTGAACACAGAAAGCTTTCTGGAAGTGGTATCAAATGATCCTCAAGCCTCGGATACGATGTCTTCTAATTGATCGAAAAGCTAGATAACGGTAGCTAAATTTATGTCGTGATACGAAATCAACCACTTTTCTTCATGATGGCTTGTCACTCTATCACAATAGCAGCATGCACCAAGAGAGAGAGGGGATGATTCCCAGGCACTGAGCGATTCCCAACTTTCTGTAGGACTCAAGAATGGAACGAAGTCAAGTGCATGTCTTGACCTTTCTCACTTTTCACCGTACGCTTCGAAGTTGTTGCAACCATCCATCGGCCAGCCGTCACTTTCCTAGTGCACCGAATCATGCAAATATATTCTCCTCAACCACTTCTGAATATCCCACAGCTTTAATGCTCACAAGGATATATCACATCTTCGTGAAGTCAGTTATAAGATTGAGGACAGCATCAAACGTACCGACATAGATCATGGTTTGCATTAAGAAAACGTTACCTAACCATGAAAGTGAAGGACAGAGCAGAAAGCCATTGATGAATAACATTCTAGAAGTACATTCTGTAAATGGTACTTCCTTCCTGCTCATTTCTTCAACAAACCTGCTTGTAGAAACACTGGACCAAACCTACTTTTGGTCAAATATACACCTCTCCAGGTCAGCATCGATCCAAAGAATGAAATCACCAAATCTAAACTTTAATGTTGGGTGTCCAGTGGCTCAAAACTTTCTAGCATAACGAGGTTCCGGCAAATCTAACATTGCTATACCTCTTCCCAGTGTCTGTCTAATGCCAAATTTGCTCACAACTTTCTCATTGCCTCGGTGTAAATCGGGTTCTGCATCATGTGATACAGGAAACTCTTTCTTCATATGGCAGCTCCATATCAGCTTGCCTCCACTCTAGAGTACGGTAGCTCAAGAAGATCGTTCTGCTTTCACAATATGTGGCCCGATGTGGTTGGACAAAATTCCGTCCCTTTTGTTTCCATGATTAAATGGTGTGGCATTCCATCATCTAGATTGGGATAAAAGCCATAGATCGGACTTGCTTCGCTTTGCCAATGGTGGTTGTCCAGATTGCACTGGCAATGGGTAGCCATGAACATTACCTTTTCTCGGAAGCTAAGAAGAAGCTTCACCAATCATTGCGGGTCTCAGAACAACGTACTGTATTTTATCCTGATCCTTAATCTTTCTCTTCCATTTGAATATGGTAATTTTGATAAAACATTGACGGGATCTGAATTCTTCGGCCCAAGTTGCTCCAAGGAATTTGGTCAAAAATTTCTCAGCGAAGGTACGGCCGTCATGTTGGAAATTTCTAAAGAGACCAGGGAGTGGGAAGTTAGGTGCTATTTCGCCCATCTTCAAACGTCGATAAGTTGTCCCTTTATAAGATGTAGACGTCCTTTTCGAAGATTCAAAAGAATAGATACTTAGGAGTAACTGTGGCATTTGTCTTGAAGGGTCTCATACTCGGACTCCAGATATTATGTATTGACTCAGGCTTTTTGTTTTCTAGTACGTGTTTTTCTGTATCCTCCACAAAAGCAATAATTCCACAACAAATTCTTTCCTACTGCTGATACTAAAAGACCTTTGCATGACGTATAACGTTCCTGTATATTCAACCACCTGCGATGCTGTATTCTTTGAACCAAGACTTCTCCCCAGCCAACTATCCATCGAATAAAGACTAGTGCCTACTTCTTTCATCGGATTTTCCTATGAATTATATATAAAAGATCAAAAACCATTTAAAGTCGAATTTTGTAAGATCAATGAGTAAAACATAAAACTATTACCATTATTGGAGAGAAAAAAAAAACTGTATTTATGACTTGGTAATTACTCGAAAATGTCATTCTTGAATGTTCTGCTTTATTGACATCCACAAAGTATCTAGATCAACGTTGCCTCCTGTAAGAACAATTCCTATATTCTTGCAGTGAATACAGTTGGGATCATCCTGAAACTTCTTCGATAACACGGCAGCCAGTCCTACAACTGCACTAGGCTCCACAACAACTTTGAGTCTTTCATAACACAACTTCATTGCGTCTACAATTTCTGACTCCGACACAGTAATAACATCCTCCACGAGATCTCGTACTACCGGCCTGCCATTGCAATTTAATAGAAAGTCAATACGACCACACCTTGCAAGTTAATGAGTTCGAAAATTTCGCTTGAAGAATGGAATCTACCGATGCAAACGTATGAATTATCAAGAAATTCCCTAGAGTAAATTCCGGGAGCTTACCACGTAAGGTTCCCCAGAAAAGTCCGAAGACCATCAGCTATGGTGCTGACATACTTCAGGGTTACAATCTCTCCGCTTGCTTTAGACTGTGCCGCATCGTCAGCACCCTTGGGTTCAGCAGCAAAAATTTTGATGCTCGGTTTGAGAGCTTTGGCAGCCAAAGCTACTCCAGAAGTCAACCCACCACCTGGATATTCAAGGTGTTTGGTGGCCATGGGTTAATTAATATTCAACACAAACATGTACCATCAGAAGAATTACGCTATTCAGCTTCCCATCGCTTCATAATCTTTAACAACAAGCCTAAAAAGTTCAACAAGGAGCTTACCACTAATAGGTACAAAGATTGCATCCAGATCCGGTACTTGTTCCAGAAATTCAACTGCCACCGTACCCTGACCACTAAGACGCCATAGAGAGTCAGTTTTCCTGAAGCAGCACGCTTTCTTCTTAACGAATCAGCTTGCATACTTGATTCCGTATTGAGTATGTGCCTAGTGCGTCCAAACAGAGGCTTCAACATGGCAAATAACGACATAAGAATGTAAGAAGCCAAGAAGGTCACCCAAGCCCCCGAACTTTAACAGCTCTATGTGAAGCTTAAGGAACTGAACTCAAGGGTGAAGTCTAACAGATGACCAAGGTACCTCATTACTCGACCGTCATTGAATGGAAGAACCAATACTGCACCCGTCGACTCTTGAACACGTTGAGCTGTTTCCTCCCGTGATTGAATGTTAGGCTCACATGTTACGACTTTCCCTCCGTATCTTTCCACATTTGCTATTTTACAAGCAGGTGCATTTCGTGGTACAACTATGTGAGCAGGAATCCCTCGTATCTGTGCAGCCAATGCTAGTGCTGCTGCATGATTGCCACTTGACAACCATTCCACTCATCAGCAACTCTGTTCAATGAAACAAACTCTGGTATTAAGCAGAATAATGGATCACATATCATCTTCACATTTCAGCACTACTTCCTCAGAATAGCATCAAACAGTGGAATCGTCGTCCTTTGAGATATTCTAAAGAGACATATATGAGCATCAAATCTGCTTCAGTCTACCAGTTTAGACTGGAGCAAAATTAATAGACATAGAATCTTCTCATAGTAAGGCACAAGGACGCACGTGAACAGATGCTCAACTTCACACTGAAAGTCGAGGACAGAAACTGTGAAGGGAAGTACCTGCTGTGAGTGACAACACCCTGTTTTGCAATTTCGTCAGGGAGAGAGAAGACTGCGTTGCATGCACCTCGGAACTTGAAAGCACCCCTGTGGTAGCATAGACCGATAAGATTAACTGAAGCTCCTGACCTCTAGGATACATACGGAAGTTGCTCCCAGAACGGATCCTTGTTGTTATGCGGTTGGAAAAACTTTTGAACTCGTTAATACTTCGGGAATAATGGAGGATAAGGACTATCCAGGATCGATTAAATTCAAAATCAACAAGACTTCATAAGTCCACAGAGTGCAAAGGCATTGCCCTCGGATTTGTCATTCTGCGGTCGAAGAACAGCGCAGATATGATAACACAGACAAAATTGTTATGAAGCCGACAAGGTGCGAATTCCAGCTGCTGGCAAGATGTAAAAAAGGGACACAGAGCAAGAATATGATCTGCAAACCATGTCACAAAACTCAAGCTGGACACAGATTGACTACGACAGGAAACGGAACGAAGGACGAGAATAATGTCTGGTGACAGAGCCACGAGCTCTCAATTGCGTGCAAGCACGACGTACCCTTTCTGGAAATTTTCGCATTTGAAATGCAGAGATCTGCCAGCAAGGGCGTCCAGGGATGAGCAAGTCAGGACAGGCGTAATGTGCGCGTATGGCTGGATCCTCGTTCGGGCCTCCAGAATTGAACTCAGACTCGCTGCATACTTCTCTTCCTTGAGATCCAAACCCGCGGTGTCCTGGGTCAAAGCGTCCATCTCCACTCGAGGGCAAGCTGCCCGACCTCAATCGAAAACGAGACCCAGACTCCAACTTTGCAGAATTGGGCAATCCTCCTCCTCCTCCTCCTCCGTCACCTGCAAATTGTCATCCCGAGACAAATCGTTGTCCTGAAATTCGCAGTGAGCAGTTATGTCAACAAGACAGGCAGACAAACATGCTCCCGCACGAGGAGACTGCCAACGGACGCACACGTCAGAACTGCCAGCGCAAGCTTTTCGTCCGAGCTCAAACATCGAATTTCTTTCCTGCACGAGACCTTCTCTTTCCAACATCGTACCTCTCGAATTGGGTCTCACTGCATGCGACTTTACTCAGTCATCGAAATGGACGACATTTCTTTCCCCGCCTGCGAGAGCTGCTGAAGGTAGAACTTCTGTGGAGAAAAGGAAACCTTGCGAATTCCACTGATCCCACCACGAGCTCGAAGTATGAGAATTGGGCATCGACGTGCACGAGAACAATTTCTTTACGACGATCGGAATAACTTTCACGCCATACGGAAGAATGTCTCTGCTGTACTGTAAATTGAAGTGGAGTACGGTAGTCTACTGTCAAGGGGAACCGTATGAGTATGTATTCGTATGAAACATGTACTCGTATAGGAAAATCAGACAGGTAGGAATGGGCACGGCTCGGCTAACGGCTAGCCGGCTAATATTTTTTGTTAGCCGGCTAGCCGATAAATATTGCTTCCGCTATCCTAGGCCGAAAACGAACCGTAAACTAAGACTGAATTTAAGTGTTTCGGCCGATTATAACCTCAGATTCGGCCGAAATTATTTTATAAACATTTATTGCGGCCGATTATTTCGGTTAATTGCATTTTCGGCCGATAGCCGATGACTCGCCGGCTAAAATTGTGGCCCTAGCCGGCTACGTGCCCATGCCTACAGACAGGTCCCTCATGACAGCCGAGTGTCGATCTGGCAAGTCGTTTCTTTATCTTGGACATGTTCATGAGAATGAAGAGTGATCAACCTCAAGGTTGTTATTGGATTACTCCGATTAGGAAATATGTCTTATTGCTACTAACAAATCATAACTCCAGCATCCGAAGAACATTGACTAATCTCAGTGGCCAACCAGGGCTAAATTAACCGTAGGCCAGAAATATTCTCGGTCTCTTTTTTGAAGAAATTAATGTGGCATGATATAGGTGTAAATGTTCTAATCCATAAGTTTGTACTATTTCAAAGTTACAAGAACAAAAACGTGGGAGTTTACAAGACGTTTTATTTATATGTTGGTTATTGGTATTCATCTCGGGAGAGAGTTAATTTGAAACACATCAATCTGATCTTCCCGAAACCAAATACGTATAGTATATGTATATCCCCTAGCCAAAATATTATACATTTGGATCTCTCCATGTAAATCATCCATGCAAACTTCACATTTCTCGTATCATAAGAACATCATCTCGCCAATTTTGGTATGTGTTATGAACATTTGTGTTCCAAATGATAAATGAGTCATTGGATCTTGATGTATGTCTCCTCCAATGTTATTAAACTTACCTACACACAAGAGATCAACTAAGACTCAATTACACTCCTTTCTCATTCTTCAACTAGAATAATAATGTTTTTAATCCTTGAATCGTATCTATTATGTATGTTTGTATTAAACAAATTAATTCAAAATAATTTTTTCATTTGCTTGGGATAAAATTCACAAAATGGTGAAAATCACAGAAATTCTTTAATGATATTTCAACATTTATCAAAGGAATTATTTTGTTCATTCGAAATATGACCTTTCTGTTGAAATAATAATTTCAAAAAATGAGCCATTTTGTAGTTCTATTGCCAGCATTTAATGTGTATTGGCTCAATCTGTTCAACTTCTGAAGATAATCAAATGATTACTTTTGATCCACGTTGTCATTGTACGTTTCTAACTTTTCTTATTGATCCACTATACTCCTAAGCCTCTACAGTAAAGCATGTTCTCCGTGTTGAAAAACCGTATATCCATCAAATATTATAACAAATGTTATGTTCATTATCTTCTAAAGCAAGTCCTTACCGTATGTAGCTTGTTGGATGTTAGGCTGTCAATCAGTCAGGGAAAAGATTAAGAAACACAATGATAAATTGACTTCCTTAATTATCACCGGGATCCATTGTTTAATTTCTACATCTGTGCAAACTAAGCCAGGTGTTGATTTTCCATTTCGTCGATAGCTAGTTGTACTAAACTGGTAAAAGTAGGCACATTGCTCGTAGGAGTAAAGATTTTTCATTTCCTATTCGAAAGCGAAGTTACATTTCCGCTTTTCCCTGACTGTTTGTCGGCATAACATCCAACAATAATCTAGAAATCCGAGATCCGGATTTCTGAAGTCCATGACTCAATTTCGGATTCAATCGAAATTGGATTGCATGACTCTTCGAAAGCGAAATTGAGTCATGTAATCCAGAAAGCCATCGACCAAAATTATTCTCGGCGTCCACCCAGCATCACCTCATAAAGGATCTTCCTCATGGTCTAAACAACTAAGGAACAAATCGCCAAAATTTGCTCATCTATCTTTCACCATTACCCCAATTACAGGCGGACTCTGAGGACTTCAGTACCAACTAAACAATTAATGGCAGAGATTTGTCATGCAGACGGGGGAAGGAATGCGTCAAAGACTAGAACTAGCAAATGTGGTGGGGTATCACAAGATCTCCACTTTATATACAGTAAAGTAAAGACTACTGTACACGAGAAACAATCAATGAATAATTGTTTTGAACAGGTGTACCAAACAAAAAACATTTCTCTTGGTAGGTAATCCTTAGTGGTAGGAGATGATAGTGCTTCAGAGAACATGATGTGATGATCGAGGGTCCATTTTTCTGGTAAGACCACCTGCTTCTAAGTAAAAGCTTCCTTTGTCAAGTATGGTTTTGCAGACTAGCTGAAAAACTTTACTTTTGTGGCTCCTAACCAATGAGTCCTAGTATCAAGTAACAAGGAGTGGTTCCACTACCGGTTGAAACAAAAATGTATCAGACAGCTTTCGTGCATAATTCTAAGTCTCCATCGGAGAAGGACCATCTCCATCTGCAGGAACTTCTACACCTCCAGAAGACTCTCTGGTCAACAAGGCCCCGGCCGCTACGTGTGGTGGTTGCTCTTCTGTGGGTGCGGCTTCCTCTTTGGTCGCATCCTCCATGCTGTCAATATAAGCCTGCAATTTCTTGGGATCTAGAATCTCAAACTTTTCATCAATGCCCACCAAAGCTAACCCGCAGTTAGAACTTGTCAACTCCTCCTCTTGCAACGATTCTTTTACAGCATACAGAGCATGACGGATCAACTCGTCCTTTGTGCATCCCATGAAGGTTTCGTATTTACGCTCGAGATAAGTTTTTGCGGCCTGCGAGCGTGAACCTATGGCAAATGCTTGATATTCGAAATAGTTTCCAGAAGGACAGTTTTGATACAAATGAGGGCCAGTTTCATCCGTTCCTGCCACCAACAGCCCTACACCATAAGGCCGTTTCCACGACCGTTGGGTACATACCTGCAAAACGATAACGTAGGACAATTGGTTAAAACAGTTGGACGACTCCTTTTGTATCCAAAAAAAAAAAACCAAGTGTTTTGATCTGACCTATTTGAAATGATCTACAATGGGTAGCCCAAATTCATGACTGCGTAACATGACGATTTTACAGATACAAATTTTACTTGACACATTAGAACATAGAAAGAGATAGCAGAATCCCCAGGAAAAACGTCAAGAGATCAGATAGAGATCGAATCGGGATCCCAGATGATCCAATGGCAACTGAATTATTAAGTTAAGAACGAAAAGCACGAGCTGAGGTCAAGGAGCGAACTAGGTCACCTACACGAGCCAATGTACCAAAACTAGCGCAAGGCATTTAACATACACCGACCAAGAGAATCCAGTAAAGCAAGAGAAAATCCCAACAGCCTCTTGACGGCATTGCTATCAGGTCAGTAACCCCACGGGAAGATGTCCATGTTGCTGGACATCAGGAAATGAAACATCACACTGCAGTTGATTGCTTCTCCACGAAACGTAGGCACAAGATCTACGGAAGATGGACTCGATGGTATAGACAGAGAAGTTTGCTACAGAGACACTACATGGAACCAAAGAACTGGGACTTCCATGAGGGGAAAACCATCAACCCGATGTTCAAAAAGTACTGCCTGGGTTTGGTCCGCAAGATGAGATGCAGAGGGCGCTGCGCAGAAAAACTCACATAACTTTGATGTATTTTTCAGGCCAATTTTGAATCCTACGCTAGAAACCGTGCTTGGCAGTTTGAACCTAAACAAACAGAAAATAACAGCAGGAAGAACGACTCAAATTCAACAACTTGAAAGGTAACTTATTATTCAAGAAACGTCATAAGACGAACATCCCAAAAGCGATCATTGGCAACCTCGTAGACTATCTAGACTACCTCCGTCTGTACGTATCAGCGACCAGCCGATGTCAGTAAGGCCTCATAATAACTAAATATATGCTTCATTTAACCGATGTCAATACCAGAGCTCGTCACTTTTGTTGATCGAAGTTTCAAAACGTATGTCATAACTTTCAACCTCAACACAGAAAAAAAAACAATATGAAGCAACCATTTGCGCAGTCTATTTTGCAATCTGTCGTTCGTACACTACCCTCGGCGATTTTTCAAACACATTCAGCTCATATGTAGTAACTGCATATGTGGGTAAATTTCGCAGAATTACTTAACAACTCCTCCAGTGCTCAGCTTGAAGAAGAATGAAATGAGAACGAACGCCACACGAAGTAAACACAAAAAGGGCAAGTAGATATGACCAGTGTCGACTTCAGAATGCACAACAACAAATTGAAGTCAAAGTTGCCCTAAGGAACGGTAATGTACATTACCTGGGCCTTGTCCGCGACTTGGACCACCAAACGACCAACAGGCAGGGGCGATTCATAAACAAAGTTGTGATTGATGCACTCCGACCGCATGTATCGTGACAACACACGCCCATCAGCAGTGAGCCCGGCCATGGCAATTCCAATGTGGTTGTCAATCTTAAACAGCTTCTTTTGGTGTGACAGAAGCTCGGACGACGCCTTGTTCACAGTCGCGAGAACAACATGAGTCTTGGACCGCAATCCAATAGCTGCGCTTCCCTGCTTCACTGCTTCCATAGCATACTCGACCTGATGCAAGCGTCCCGCAGGACTCCATGTCGTGACGTCCGTGTCATACTGATTCCTAAACATTTCTTCCTGCTCGGAGGTCCTCCTCGCGAACCTGATCGATCAGCCGTCCAGGACCTCCCGATCAGCGAAAAACTTCCCGAAACTGCCACTGCCCCGCTCACAAATTCGACTGCCCCCGCAGATTCGACTCCTCGCGTGGCGATCGCATGCACAACAAACAATTAACGCCCTGCTTCGAGGGAGAGTCGATGATCACGCGAGCCAAGAGTATTGCAATGAAGTGCTCGGGAAGGAAACACTCGGCACTCACGGACAGAGCCCTAACTCTCCTCCTTCCATGATCTGACCGCGGTTCAACATGCCGGTTTCACATGGGTCGAGTTAGAGGTCTTCTGCGCCAGTCCCACCTCGCTCGTTGTGTCCTTGCAATGTGATCCACGGCGTAACTAGGTGCGAGACATATTACTCCACATTGAAATAGCAGAACTAGTGCACGCCATGTGCTACTGTAGTATCCAATCATTTACATAATTTTCATAACGCTTTCATAATGATTCTAATGAAAGATCTCAAAAACCACCGAGTAGAGAATCAGTAATCAGCAAAAAGATGGAAAGTAAGACCGAAATGTGTCTACGCCCCAGCAGAATAAGTTACACAATAACGTGAAGAGATTCATACCGCATGAAAAGGTTCGAGGTGTCTTGCTCACTACTTCAAGAACAAATCCATAGAATCCATAGCTTCTTATAACTTCAAGGTTGTAAGGAAAAAAAAAACTCAACTCTTTTAAGTAGAGCAAACTTTTAGAACTTGATTTATGCCATCCCACTAGTCCAAATGATTATACTTCGTCTGCTCTGAGACGGTGTCATGTGTATGACAAAACCGTTGAATTTTAATGTAATTGCTTGTTTTCTACTATTGTATAGATATTTATTATCCCTAGTCCATTGCGCGCCAATGAATGCTACCTCGACGTCAGCTCTTGACCTTCATGCATTAGAAGGTAAATATCATTTGCCCATCAAATAGGCAACAAGGCTTATGAACATCAACTGCATCTTCAATATGAACACAATCTGCATAAAAAAAATTTCTTGATGTGAATCAAAAGCGAAAGCATTAATGTACATTCTTATTATTTTGAGAATCAAGCAAAAGCCCACGATAGTTGAAATGTAAGTGTTGTGAATTAGCATAAAGGTCAAATAATTTTTATCGCGTTTCCTAAACATTATACTTACAATAACCAAGAAAATCTTTGATATGTATTATCATCCATAACCATAATTTCAAACTCAAATTGTTGTTTTAAAAATAACATTCTTTATGCTACAAGTATTAAATCTATTAAAGTGATCGTCAAAACATTATTATATGTCAATCAACATCAAATTTCAATGCATGGTATTCACTATATCGTTCATCAATTTTTACAAACAGCTCATTTTCAAGTTATCAAAGTCGTATAAATCTTTTGGACTTTGAAATCGAGATGTCTTTATTGACGATAATATTATTGTCCATGTTTAAGCAAAATGCATGGAAGTTAGTGTAAGTGATTGTATATAAAGCAAATATGCTTTTTGAAAATTTATGATAGCTACAAGGCTTAAAGTAGAGATACAAATTTTAATTTTATCTTAATAAACAGTCTGAAAGTTACAATATAACATAATACATACTATTATAAACATCAATTTTTATGAAACAAATAGATGTATATTGCTAACAATTTTATATAAAACCTTGAATCCTTTAACCTATATTTGTGCAAAAAATGGTTAATGTATAATTTAAAAGTTGATGTCAACTCAAAATATGACTTATCTAGATAGCTCTTTTATTGAGTTTTGGTTTGTATGAATCATTCAATAAGATATGAATTCAACACGATAGTATTTGTGTATATATCTATGTTCATGGATCGATATTGTGTATATCACAAAATGAACATACAACTTTCATTTATCGCATTCAAAACACTTACTAATAAGTATGCAATTTTTATTATTTCAAGTACAAGTCAATTGAAGATATTTATCTTCATATATTTTAAGTAAATTATGCTAAATAATAGATTTTTAAAAATTTCATTAACTAAGGGATATTTTTAGTATATTTATACATACCAACATGCAAGGTTATTTTGCATGTTTTCTACTTTGCTGCGCAAAAAAATTAAAAAATTCTTTTTCTAAATTAAAATTATAAGTTTTTCAATCAATGAGTAAATTGCCATGTTATTCTTCCAAACTTATATTTAAGATTTTTGTAACCCGATTATTCATTTTTCCCACATAAGCTTCAATTTTGATTTATAAGATTAAAAAATAAAGGGCATACAAATTTTAATGCATAGTAAATGTATATCGACATTAATTTAATTGAAATATTTAAAAGATATAATCAATATGTTACACATGTTTCTATACTGTTAACTTAGATAATTATAATTAGTTTCATAATATGGAAATATTATGAAATATTATTTCTCAAGATGGTTATTATGAAAAATAGAAATAGATATAAAGGATTGATTATAATATATACCAATCTTGTATAACAATCACAAATAATCCGAAATTTCAATTATTAGTTTCAATAATAGTTGTGGAGATTTTTTTAAAATTATACTATACAATGACTTAAATATAATTAAATATAATTATTCGAAATATTTTATAAAATTATGATTTATTGTCAAAAAAATTATTATATGGTATTTTATGATTATTCATTGAAATATTCAGTTACTCAAAAAAATTTAATGTTGCATATCTTTAAATTAAAAGAATCCTACTTATTTAATATTGAAGAGATCTGAAAATTTGCTTGAAGCCATTCAAATAAAGTATCCTTGTTCTAATTTTATCAATGCACTTATATTTCTATGTTAAGAAAATATTAAAATAGTGTTAGAGAACAGAAAGGAACAGCACTCATAATTTTCTTAATCATTTCTATCTACCGAATGAAATTATACCAGATTAGCCCCAGTTTCCCATTTGTTTGTAATGCTTGTTGGGCTTGATGAGTCTTCGCATGGGTTTTTGGTGTCCACTTGCCCCGTTTGGCCTAAATAAACCGTACAAGGATGAATCCCAAAGGTAAGATGAGGCTATGACATATCAGTATTTTACTTTTAATACAGTAAAACTTGCGCGGATCAGGCTTTTTCGATTCAAAAAATATAATTTTTTCATGAAATAGAAAGTGCATCTTTTCTTTAGCTCATTCAAGGGAAGTATCACATCAAGGCTTTACGACTTCTGAAACCCACCTCGGATTCCGATTGACCTCCAGTAGTTTAGACCATGACAGGGCCTGCTGTGGAGGTTTGACGGGCAACGGATCGGGCAGAGGTGGAGGCCATTCCGAATGTGATCAAATAACTCAATGGAGATTCAATAAATCAATATTCCCAGCATCACAGGCCAATGTAGAAAAGAAAAGCCCCGCAATGGTGCTCGCGAAAGAAGGACGGCCGAGCAGTAAAGCTGAATTGCGGAAATCATCAGAGCCCATAGAGGCCAGAATAACCCGATCGCTAGGTCGACGCATCGAAGGAAATCGAAATCGAAATCGGAATCGGAACCGGAACTTATTATTACTCCATCCCCGCCCTTCAGAGCTGGGGCCGCGATCGGAGGCTGTCAGAGATGGTGACAGGCACGATTGTCAGGCATTACCGTGAACTGTGTCGTTGAAAATCAATCCATGTCCCGACGAAATGTCGTTTCCCGGACGTCTGTCCTTCGGAGAACAAGACGGCGCAGACTTTTTCGTAGCGCCTACGAAAGAGGACGACGTCGGCGTCCGTCCTGACTGGATGACCGGGTGCTCTGTCGGGTTGGGCTTCGGGCAGAGACAGACGTAGAGCATTCAGACGCCACGGCCGGTCGATTTTCGAAGGAGAAACTGGTGATTCTGGAGGCCGTAAAGTGTGGCGCGCGGATGATGTGCTTTTTGCCGGCCGAGTCTGAGTGTCAATCTTGGCAATGCGAATCCACCTTTATCGACGAGAATTGGGCTGGTAGACGAATTGTGGCACTGTGTGCTCGAGGAATCGGTCACCAATTTGATGACTTGAATGTTACACAGTGATGAAATTCCTACCGACAAGTGCCACGAGTGAGTCTGCAGCACTGACTGGTTAGCAGGGTCAGTGGTTTGGCCAGTGCCGCAGCGAACATGTTGCGGTGTTCCTGCTCGGCGGTGTATGGTTTTGACAGGAATTTCGCCGCCTCCAGTCTTAACAACAGGCCGCGTCGAGAGCGAGCCACCATACTCAGAAGTGCTGGTGCAATTAATTTGGCTTCTGTGCAAATCCTTTCTACACTGCCCTCGAACATTGAAGACAATGTACTATTTCGGAATCTGGTCACTGGAGCGGCTGCAACAAGCTGGACTGGCTGGTCTCAGAAAAGGTCCCAATCTCGTCTGAGTTGTTGTAGTAGTGGCATTCAACGCGAGCAAACGAAGCGCGATGACGAGGTTCTAACAGAGTTGGCCGTAAGCGACGACGAGAATGACCTGTCGAAGGAGAAAGAGAACGAGACACTGTCGAAGGACGATGATAAAGAGGCTTTATTTGTGCAATGGTTTCGAGGAGCCTGGCCTTACATTCAAGGTTATAGATCAAGTACTTTTGTCCTGGTTATTCCCGGAGAAGTAGTAGCCGATCGCTCCAAAATTGATGGCATCCTTCAGGTTTTTCCCCATACGTGAGTCAGCCTTTGTTTCTGTAATTTTTCGACAACTGAATCATTTGTACATCAGAAGGAAGCGTGTCAGTGCTCATCATGGAAAACCTGCGGCTGTCTGTGGGTTTATGTCCAGGGACCTGGACATAACATCCCTATGTTTTCTTATGCCTTTTGCGACAAGTTCTTAGTCCGACGACAAAGAGAATGTGAATATATGAAGAACAAGGGGAACTGCTAGTCACTATGCGCAGGGTTCCCCTTTTACAGTGCCATTGTCTCTGCCTGCATGTCATTATTTCTCTGCTTTGATCTCCTTTAGACATGCTCGCTTGGACCTCCGTTTTTATGTAGTTAACCTTGTAAGCAGTCTTGTTGTATGTGTTTGGATGCGCATCTAAAAGAGATCCTAATGTTATAACCATTTTGCTGCAGGATATCCTACTTCTTCATGGTTTGGGAATTAAGCTCGTCATAATTCCTGGAACGCATGTACAGATTGACGAACTTCTCACAGAAAGAGGTACAAAATGCTATGAGACGTCCTTCTGGGTTGACAGGGTGATTGTAAACTCTACTCCTGTGAACCAGATAGTTACACTTCCGTGACGTTACACCTCGTTTTGTCCATAATGAGCTAAAGAGTATCAAATTATGCCTTTTGAAGAACTTTGCATTGGTGGGCTACTCAAGTAATATATGCATTTGCTATACAAGTGGGTGCAAGCACCTAGATAAATTCTTCATCATCACATACGGCATGGTAGGAGTACGTAGGTGATTAGACTGAATGGAGGGCTGGCCGTAATAGCCGAAGCGACAGAGTTCATGAGATATCTGTGGTTGGCAGGTCACAAGCCAAAGTATGCTGGGGCATATCGCATCACAGATGCCGAGTCTTTGGCAGCTTCAATGGAAGCTGCCGGGAGGATTCGCCTTGCGCTAGAAGCGAAGCTCTCTCGAGGCCCTTCAATTCCAATTCTTCGCCGACACGGAGATACGGATCGGTGGCATGAAGTCTCTGTTGCAAGTGGAAACTTTCTCGCTGCGAAGGTGAGACTAAATAATATTGTACTCAGTCACAAGTTTGGCAGCGTATTTGCCCTTTTAACTAGTACAGCGAGCAGTTTGTCTCATTTCATCCATTTATGCTGTTGAGGCTGTGCTCTTTTGGAAGGAAGCTTTTCTTGAAAGAATCAGTCATAAGAAAGTTGCGGACTTTGATTGGGTCTGTTCATCTATGCACAGAGGCGTGGGGTGGTTAATGGGGTTGATTTTGGAGCGACTGGGGAGGTAAAGCGAATTGACACTTCGCGGATTAAAGAGAGGCTGGACAGTAATTGTATTGTAATGTTAACGAACCTTGGCTATTCGGCTACTGGAGAAGTTTTGAATTGCAAGTAAGCTATTCAAAGCGCTCTTTATTTCTTGTGCGGACTGCCCTTCTCAGCGAGATTCAATGTTTTAGGTCTGCTCCTGGTGTTTGGGACTTATCTGCGTTGCAAATTGAATGAATTATGCGGTCTGTTACAATTGATCGCTTTGCCTACTTTTGAATCTTCTGTATATGATTACTAAGTGCTTGTTATTTTCTGTTCGCTGTTCGTGCAGCACATACGAGGTAGCCACAGCGTGTGCCGTTGCTCTTCAAGCCGATAAGATGATGTGTTTGCTGGATGGTCCTTTGTTGGATGACGACTGTCGACTTGTACGTTTCATGACTCTCCACGAAGCTGATAAGCTGATAAGAGAACGAGCTAGCGAGAGCACAGCTGCCGCTGACTATGTCAAAGCTGTTGCCGGTCAAGCTTATATGCAAAGTCTTGGTCTGCCTGGGCTAAATGGTAAGAATGGAACTGCAAGTGGGATAGGAATCAGAACAAGCTACGATATCGGCTCCAATCCCCCTTCCAAGAACGGAAGTAGGGCGACGGGAGGTGGTTTCGCTATCGGAGGTGAAGAGAGGAGGAGCAGGTTGCATGGGTACCTGTCTGAGCTGACGGCAGCAGTGTACGTCTGCCGAGTAAGATCCAAACTACCACCAGTAAAGACCAATGAGAATATCTTCAAAACCGCATTCTTTGGCTAACTATAGTGCGTGAGAGGGTTCAAGTCGCTTTGAAGCGTGCTAAGATGTGGTTCCCGCAGGAGGACAGTCCAACAATTTCCAGCAGGTTTTTGCATAACCACAGATCAAACCAATGCAGGGTCGTAAGCCCTTTCTTGAGTTTCTAGGTCTCTTTTGTATGAAGTATGTAGTCAAAGATTCACAGGTTAGCAACTCACACACCCCAATTCAGTCTTTCACCTTCAGGTCTAGAGGATCACACGCTTCAACTAAACAATCGTTGATTTAGAGGGTATCAGCTTACATAATGTTTCGTTCATTGCAGTCCTTCACCTGCTGGTTATTGGAATCTAGTCAATTTAAAATTTATAAGTTAACTAGCTTTTGAGAATCTGTAAGTAGAATTTCATGTGGCATCTTATCTCTTCAACATTTAGGCTAAATCTCAGCAACAATATTGTGTTTATCACTCATCTCTGTCTGTTGTCTGAGTTCTAGTACTCTGTTGTCGGGTTGCTTTTATAGAATGCGTACACAAATCACATTCGTCCTGTTCTTTACTTCATGACGTTTGTTTTGAATTCGGGATACCTAGATCGCTTGATCTTAAATTCTAGGCAATACTTTCTGCATATATGTCGATGATCAAACAGTCTGACTACTTTGTGGATGATTTCTGGTTGAGAAGTTCTTCCCTATCCGCTGCTTTGGAATAAGAGACTTTTGAAGCATAACATTAGACACAGCTTCTCAGTCAAGAGAACAGCCTGTCGACTTTGATGAGATTGATACTTTGGATTAAGCAAACACAAGAATGCTCTTCATGTATTCTTTGCTCATACCAATAGCTCCATGTATTTACCTTTCATTTCTGCCTTAATCTAACAGGCAAATGAAATTGGTGTGTAGCATGGGGTGAGGCGCGTTCATATACTGGATAGTAATGTTCAAGGAGCACTACTTCTTGAATTATACACTCGTGACGGAATAGGGACTATGGTTTCAAGGTCCGTAATCTGTTCCTTTTCTCGCCTTTCCCCTTTTTTAATGAGAGAGTTGTCATGTTCTTAAAAGTTGTGTTGGCATCACCATAACCCTCGGTATTCGTCATTATTAGATTGCTGCTCAGACTTGGTTGATATTTCGTCAAATGATTTATCCCCTCTACCAAGTAAAGACTCAAACTAACCAGTAATAATGCAGTCCATACTATGAGGTAGGAACTAAACACTGCCATGTATGCACTATTATACGTTTGCAAAACTCTGTGTACTATATTTATAGTTAAAATCTGAGAACTAACCAGAACCTTCATTCCGTGGAGTCTTTAGGAACAACACCTTTTTTAAGCAGTAGGCCTTTTTTCGGAGAAGATAACACAAATTCCAGATTTATGTGTTGGTACTAGCTTAAACGTACCGGTAAAGGAGAGGATATAGATTGTGAGGATGGTGAATGTATGATGAAGAAACTTAGCACTTCGCATTTGATTTTTCAGCCTTTTATACTCTATCGATCTTGTCCTTTGAAGTTGTCGTTTTTTCAGCAGGATGCTATGCTATAAATGTTGTGACTTGTTTCTTTTTTGTTCTATCTTGATTATAAGGTAGAATAAATGGATCTATGCCATAGCTGAAGCCCCTGGGGTTATACCTCCCCCTTCCGTACTCTTTGGTCCCTTCCCGTATCAAGCCCTGTGGTTGATTACGTTTTGTTCAGACAATTAGTTATCCCCCAAGATATTGTGAAGAGCAGTAGTCATAGTTATAATTGCACATTTTGAAGGGGTCTCGATCCATGGATGATCTTCACTGTTCTGTCCCGATGGAAACCAGTAGATGCTCCCTCTCTCGTGCAGCTAGTTTCCTTTAGTAAGAAGAACTTAGTATCAGTATAAAGTTGATCTAGCCTTGGAGAGTATGTACTGACGCAACTCTGTTTGAATTTCTTCACTACGCAGATATTCTGAAACCTATTAGTTTTCCTGGACTTTCACGAAGGACATCTGAAGCTGTCTGTATCGAACCAACTGACTTTCTCTTATCAGATTCACAACAGAATAAACTATTTATTGTACATATTTGTATATGGTAGGAGAATATGTAAAACACTGTTGCTTAGCCTCCACCGGTTACTTCTTAGGATGTTACTAAATTAAGGAATAATGTCTGTGCATGCTATTTCACATCAGGACAGAGGGCTGACCTCTGGTCCTCCTTGAAAATCTCGAAAGACTTCCAACTGAGTTGTTTAACGCACTGAAATGCTTGAACGTGCAAAGACAGTTCTGGGCATACTTCAGTGTGGCCACCGAATGATCCACTGATTCACAACCTGATGGAACCTTCAAAATTTATCTTGCAAACCGCCTATGATTCTGGAGCTCTCAAGAACAGTCATCGGCCTTCTTAGTAGTGTCCAGAATTAAAAAATATCCCTCTGCCTTCGAGATGTGTACAGCTTTTGTCACTGTTTTTCTTTTTGGGTCTAACTCTTTGTTCCGGTACGGAATACACTTCCTGGAATCTTCGTATTCCTGGATTCTTCTTCGTGATTCTTCAAATCTTCTCCGTGCAAATGCAAGTGAGTTCAAAGCGAGCGAGGACCGTGCAAACACACCCTCCTCACTCGCTTTTAACGTGAAACTAATTGAGTTGTCGCGGTCCTTTGGCCCTTGCGTACACTCTGCCATCTCAGATTGAGAAGAATATATATTTTATTAGCTGAATGTTGCTTGTTATGACATCAGTACCCAATGAGGACATTGGTGTTGTCACCAATTTCTGGATGTTGAGAGGATGGTTATTCAAGGATAACCTTGCACTTGATTTCAGTCACATTCTGTCTATTCGTCCCTTGATACCTCAATGGAGTCTGGATGACCGTTGAAGGGAAATTTTGTAGGGTGCTGGCATGTTTCAGCTTTTGAACAAAACCTGCTACTTTTTATGTGGTTCACATTCATGTGTTTGACTGCAGTGATTCATACGAAGGCACACGCCCAGCAACGTACAATGACATATATGGCATCATGGAGCTTTTAAGACCATTGGAGGAAAGTGGAGTTCTGGTAAACCGTCCTCGGAAACAGGTATGGACCCACGGACTTCACTTCCTAGCATCTATCGGTAGGCTGCTGTTGTTATCATCGTTTGAGAGCAGTAGTATCATCCTCAAAGAAGATCCACTGCATTTCTTGCGAAGTTTAGGTTTAAGAGTTTTGCGGATGTAATTATTCATTCACAATTTAAATGTCTTCACTCCAATTAGTCTTCTACCCTTTTCCTCCGATTTCTATTCTGTCGTCTCCAATCTCGTTTTCTCTCTTCACACCATCATTGTGCATACGGGGCGCAGTTAGTGCGATTTTAAGGCGGTGACTTGTACACATTATATAACTATAACGTGTAACCGAATGGTAACCCTTTGTCATAAAGTTTTAACTATGATTGTCCCCACGCTTTGAAAAAATTATTTTGAAGTCTATCTAATTGGAGACCTTGGTGTTTTTGGCGGTTGTAGCTGGAAGAAGAAGTCGTAAACTATACGGTCGTGGAAAGAGATGGTTCGATTATTGCATGCACGGCATTGTTCCCTTTCAAGTCTGAAAGATGTGGAGAAGTGGCAGCCTTCGCTGTGGCACCTGAATGTCGAGGGCATGGACAAGGAGATTCATTGTTAGGTCCGTTACTATTATGGTTTTCTGATGTAGCTCTGAATAACACCGACTTTTCAAAGGAAGTGACTAGTACTATATTATTCTTGTACCTGTGCTTTTAGTTTGCACCACAATTGCATACTACTTCAGTCTGAAGACATTATAATCTTTTTTATAGGAGCTTTATGTCTTCAAGATCTTTTTTAACTTCTGATGTAAGTCCTGCAGTTCGGAACTATGTCTTGAAGTTTAACCAATCATGCAACCTTTTTTCTGGTTCTGCGCATAAAATCTTAGTTTTCATTCAGTTGGATACATGTAGTTGTTTTGTGGAAAGTGATGCTGTTGTCAAGTATGTACAACACCCTAAACTTTGGCTCGTTGAACATGAACAGAGTACATCGAGAAGAAGGCTATAGACATGAACCTGAACCGGCTGTTTCTGTTGACTACACGCACTGCAGATTGGTAAGTCTCTATTCTCTAGTTTCTTGTGACGTCTGCATGATTCAAATTAGTGCCGAAAATTTCCTTACTCTCGACTCAATTACGAATCTTTCCTGGAGACGTTCTGTCTCTCACTAACCTAGTGTTATTTCAAGTTTTATTTCAAAAAATGAATAGTCTTGCATATGTAAAGCCAAACGAGTTTTTGAGACTTGTCGGGTATTCCCCAGTGTAAGCTGCTCACAAAGCTTCTCCTGGTCATCTGCATTCATCAAGTTGTTGATGATCGGGAGGGTCGATTATTGGATGCATATTGTGGCGATGAAGCGTAGAAGCATTCTTACCTGCGAAGTCTGTGTTGACGGGTATATGGGGTGCAGGTTTGTCCATCGTGGGTTTTCTGAGTGCACAGTTGAGAGCTTACCTGAGGAACGAAGGAAGAAGATAAATTTTGCCAGAGGAGCAAAGTATTATATAAAACATTTAAGTGCTGATAGTAATAATCTAGGTCGAAGGTAAAAGAAGAAACCTAGTTTTTTCATTCGGAATTTTTTACATAGTGTTTAGGTTCATTCAGTGTCAACCAGACTCTCTGCGCCCAGATTGCAATCAGCGAACCTTTGTCGGTTCTGCACTTTTCGGGAACATTGTCAGTGAAAGTTAAATGTTTGGAGGCATGTGAAAAGAATGCACACCATGTGAGTTACATATTACATAAGATGATTCATGTGTAACATAGAGAGGTGAAGTGTATTGTATTTGACCGTGCAAAGAAACTCAATTTTTCTTAGAACAAGAGCGACCTGGGTTGCTGGAGAGTAGTTGAGGGAGATTGCGGATCTTTCAGAGTAAAAGGTGTAAGATGAGACAGGCCGGACAGTTTTGAGTGACATTCATTGAGGCTTAAAGGTTATACATCTGATTCAGCTTGAGCAAGTTGCATACAAAAGTTTCAGTAAAGTTTCCAGAATGAATCCAGAGAAACAAGGCTCGCACCCAAAATGAGCTCAAGAAGGCGATTGAAAGTATTCAATATAGAAGTGTTATGCAATTGAGTATTATGAACTTGGACAACTTAGTCTGAAAGGTCGGACAGTGTTAGCTCAAGTTGGACATGGTTGCATAGTCGTATAGCTTTTAACTGAGTTAATAATGTCGAGTGTGTCAAGGGACTTAAAGCTCAAATTTAGGGTGGGATCTTCGCAGAGAGAATCGTGAATGTTTTTCATTATTCAGACTATCCTGATTCCGATTGCCTGACATAATAGCAGTACTGACGCTCTGAGATGTAGATTTGTTATGGAAACGCGACGTACTGCATAGCTTTAGTTTCAGTGGACGCCATTGTTTAGTTTCTTCCCAATGTGATGAAGAAACACAGAAATCTGTTGTTATATTTGACAATTGTATCAACAAGCACATTGTTGGGTTCTATGATTTTTTCTCATGAGTTGTGTGCAGAGTTTGACAGTGAAGAAAATATGTTAAATGAAGATATTTTTCTGAACATAGTTTTATGGTAACAGAAATCTAATTGTAAAGAATAGTCGTATTTGTAGTGAAATGTATTGTTACTCAAACCTGACATGCAATTATCGTTGTCACATACATGGCGTCGCATTATCGGTCAGTATTGTACAAAAAAATAATATCTATATTATTATGAATTATGGGATAATTACCTTGGAAGATAGTTACTCATGTGCGGATTTAATGCTTCTATTAACTCCGGTTGTTCAATCAACGCCATTTGATTTGACGTTAATGTAGGTATTGTTTAGGGTTTAGTTTATTGTATGAGAAGAGTTAGAATTAGTATCTATGAGGTTCAGTCATTGAATTGAACCTTGGAGCACGAGAGTTTGGTGTAGAGCAGCTAGTGCAACAATCTTTAAAGTACACGGTAGGTTTGACCGGACTGCAATATTCTGCAGCGACCAGCAATATATGTTCTTGTGAATATTTTGAGACTAAAGAAAGTTAGTCTGATACATTTCTGTTGGTGTATCACAATGTGTATTGTGATGCAGTATGTGTGGTACAATGCAACATGTTATTTGAAATTTATTTAAAAGTTGACTAGATAATAACACAATGAAAAGTAAATGTTAAAATTCTGAAATTGGCTCATCCCATTTCGAACAATGAGCTTATATTCGTTTGTCCAAAAATTTAGGGGTGTCGAAAATCACTCTCACAATGTATGTTATCTTATACTTTTCAAACAGAGACAAGTGCAACAAGTTCTATCGATATCTAACTTCTCGCATTTCTAACTTGTCATTTTGACAACCCCACATTTAAAAGTGCATCGGCCGGGAATCGAACCCGGGTCTGTTCCGTGGCAGGGAACTATTCTACCCCTAGACCACCGATGCTTGTTGAATATGTTATCGAAATTTGCTTTATACTTTCTTATATTTATTGTTTTTTTTATTGTGAACCCAAGTATGAAGAACCGATCGCGTTAAAATTATCCACCACGCGAATTTTCGATTTTCTATTTTCTTCGCTTAAAACCTGCGCACAGGTTTCTGTTTCCACCGGAAATGTATAGGTGTGCCCTTATGTTACATTTGATTCACGTGCTGAAGTTAATTGAGCAAAATCTATGAAACTGTCGAACTAAATAGGTGGTCCTGTATAGACGGATGTACAATTTCATGTGATAACTAACATTGAGAATTTCGTCTTGAGTCTCGAGATTATCTTCCTCGTGCCACTGCCACCACGACCACAGCTATGCTGCAGAAAAATGTACTCTAAGTTGAAGAATTTGTAAATGCTCCTTGTTCAAATTCTGAATTCGCTGACGTTTGTAGATGCTGCTCATTTACCCGGAAGCAAATTCCACAAACCAAAGCAGATTTCCTCCATTGATATATTTATTCTGAAACTCTCACACATCGTTTCGATCTATCATTCTCTGACGAAAGAGAATTTTCGGTTTTCACTCATACTGTAATCTTATCATTCCAACCTCCAGAGATTCCAGTCAGATGGTCCAGGGGACAACGCATCCAAGTATACAATCAGTGATCATCGGAGGGCAAAGATCAATCCTCGATGGCGAAAACAGCTCGTTTCGGGTTTTACAAGAGAAGCACAATGACGAATCTCTCTTTCAGGCATCAGGTGCGAACATGTATGGGAGTCCTTTCCAGCAGAAAACTCGCCCTTCAGCTGTGACCCTAATCGGAATCAATCACTGTGGATAAATCAACGAGTCAACCTGCAGAACAGTGATGAGGCAGACAATGATACCCACAGCGCTGATAAGCAGTGGGGAGCTCATGGCGACGAAGCTCCTCTCCTGTCCGAAAGACGATGAACCCCCATTGTGAGAGATGGGAAGTACTTGTGTCAAATATAGACAAGTATTCTATACTGAAGAGACAACACCATTAAATAGTTGGTCAGATGCAGTAGGATTGCAGTCTACCTTAAACATACCACTCGAGTAGTAGGATTGCAGTCTACCTTAAACATACCACTCGAGTGGCAGTTATTTGATCGTTCATTGGTTCCGTAGTCTCAACTAGATTGATGAAGGAACCGTCATGGTATGTGATAGTTGTCTCCAAGCAATTGTAGTTCAACGACCTGCTCGTGGAGGATTTCTCCGGGGACCCGGTGGAGGAGCCCATCAGAGTAAACTAGTATGATGAGAATCAGTCGGTGAACTCCCAAATGTAGAGTTACCAACTTGACTCAGATGTGTAGTGTTGAGTCAAGTATCTTGAGATCTCAAGACATCTCAAAATTGCCATCTGAAGTAACCATCCACTTTGAGGGTAATGTCGGATCGGGGAGATTATCCTTGACCACAAAGCCGCTGAAAAGATACACAAAATTGTGGGCATCAACAAAATTTCCAAGAATGTCCTCAAAGAATGTATATCATTGGTAACAACGATGCAATGAGCTAAGGGATCCCAACATTTATAAGCTTTGGATTCGTCATCGTAGCCAACTAACACACAACATTTTGCCTTGTGCTGAAGCTTCCTCTGCTTATGAAAGGGAATGTGCACATATGAAGTGCATCCGATTACCCTGAGTGGTGTTAAATCAGGTGAAACTCCATATAATCTTTCATATGACGGAGTCAAATTTAATGCAAGATTTGCACAACAATTTAGCAGATAATTAACAACTCTCAAAGATTCCTTCCAGAGATGAGTAGGAAACTTATAAGCATTGAAGATACAACAAACTGCTTCAAATAGAGTTTGATTCTTACGCTCAAAGATGTGGTTTTGATGTGAAGTTGTTGTTGTAGTTAGTTGTTGAGCAATACACTCTTGTCAACTATAGCTTTTAAAATCCTTAAAAAGGTACTCATCTCTTCGGTCATTCGGAAGAGATGAGATTTGTGGTAATCAATCATGCTCAGTGTGCCACACAACAACAACTTTATGCGGATAGAGATTTTTTGCAAGCAAGACAAATTGCTTAAAGTGATAGAAAGTTTCAGTTTTTAGGCAAAGAAATTGAATCTAAGTAAATCAGTTATAATTGCCAGTGAAGATCAAAAGTTTCTTGAAGGCATTACCTGCTTTGACTGGACCACACAAATCATTGTGAACAATATCCAAAGACCGTGTAGTTTTCTTCTTGCTCTGTTTGGATCTTTGAACCTTGTGCTGCTTTGTGAACACATGCTTCACACTCACAATCTTTGTTGACACCGAGCGGAGGGAGGCCATGAACAAAATTCATAGAAGCCATATGGTAGGCCGTCTGATGTCGAATATGACACAAACGCTTATGTTACATATTAGTGACATCAAAGTTGCACTCTCTAACTTGGAGCGATCCTCTACTACAGCCACAAAGGTTGGGTCCGCAGATATGTCAGATGTCTTCTTTTTGCGACAAGAGGAGCTTAAGCACTGGTTGAAGTGATTGCACGTTGTTACACACGTTGATTCTATGAAGCTTGGGAAGTAGTTTGTATAGTTTAGTGTGCAAGTCACGTCAGTCATATGATTAGATTTTACTAAGATTGGTCTAATTGATTACAAAGCAATCAATTTACGTATGGATAGCAAGTTCTTGGTAAGACCAGGCATGTAAAGAATTTGCTTTATCTCTTTATCAACACATAGTGTACCTTTGCCAACAACAATTAGACAAGATTCATTGGCGGTGGAAACTTTGGGTCAAAAAATTGTAGGTTGAAATGAACTAAGAGTAGTTTTATTTCGAGTCACATGACTGCTGGCACCTAAATCTAAGACGTAATCTCACAATTTCCTAATTGTCATATTGGCTTCTAAGTCTATTGATTCACAGTTAGCTAAGTCTTATTCTAGAACAACGTTAGCTTGTACCTTAACACGTCGCATGTTGGAGTTTTCAAGCTGGAACTCCAACATCTGCTTGTCTAGTTTCTTAATATCACAATCTTGTTCTCAGTGATTGAGTATTTTACGGTAGTTATATCGAATGTTTTATTGAGTCAATCCATTAGAGTTACACCCTCTAGCTAGTGTTGCACTCTTTATTTTGGGAGCCAGTGGCTGCATTTTAAAATGTATTTTATAATGTTTAAAATATTTTTGATTTTCTTATATTCAAAATCAGTTGAAAATGTTCCCCTCATCGAGTATCATCTCTTCGAACTCCTCGCCGCCTAAATACTGGTCTAGATTGATGCCTAGATTGTCCACGAGCCAAAATTCATCATGCTCATCTTCCTCATCATCGACAATATCTTCTTCCTTCTCAATTTCTAGTCTCGTAACCTCGTCTGTCATCCCAGTCGCTGCCAACACCGCGGTGTGCCAATCGTTGCGCTTTGTGGTCAGCACTTGCTTGAGCAGCTCCGAGTTGTACAAGATAGCAACCTACTTCTTGCATTTGCCTTGTTCGAGGTGCACGTGCAGCTTTGAGCAAACTCGATTGTTGGTTTTGTGGTTACTTTTGCCACCAACATCACTTGCTGAAATGACATGCAGCTGGACGAGGACTTTTGCCAGCTCGCACATATCGTCGTCGTCTACTTAAGCCCACGTTGCTATGGGCTCAAGCTGACGACGCGTCTGCATATCTTGCGCGCTTGCATCAGGAATGATCCGTCCATACACATCGCCATAAAAAGTACAAACTGCTCATGCAAGATGTCACAAGCCTCATCGTCATTGCTGGCAATCTACTTCAATGCCATGTGACACTACTCCATTGAAGGACCCCGCCCCAACTTCACAAACGATGATCCCTGCAAATGGCCGACTCGCAAACGCATGTTATAATACAACGAGTCAGTGACAAAGGCCAGTGCGTGTGCGAACGAGTAGATGGTTTTAAGACGGTGATGCACAATCCCAACAACCTTTGTCGATCAACCTTGAGTGTATCCAGGATGCTCTGATCGATGCTTTGCACTTGGCACAAGACGTTGAGAAAGCACGTCTCCACGGCTGAGAACGTCATTTCATCATCTTCTAGATGTGCAAGTGCAGCACATAGCGGTTGCAACAGCAACAAAACCGCAACCGTCCCCTTTAAGTTGGCCACATCCAAGATATTGTTGCGCAAATCTTGATCCACTGTTACGTTTTTTTACTTGTCATTGTGATATATGGCATTGTGCATGCCGATCAAGACCGACTTCACCAGAAGGTTGCGTTTGAGCATGCTATTGATTGTGCCTCACCAGGACTTTATGAACAAGATGAGGAAGTACGCTTCTGGAACTTCTGAGTGCAACAGACGTCGAACATGATCGTGAGCAAGTGCACATTGTTGATCTTATTTACAATGAAAATGTTCAAGTACACTATACTCTTCACACCGGGCTCCTTCAGACCAAATCCAGACAAAGGTTGTGCAAGCCGTGTGGAGCGCAATCAAAATCAAACGTGAAGAGGCCGGATCATAATGCATGCTTGCGTAGACACATCATGACTGAGGCGAATCCGTTCCAAGACATCACATTGGCTAAAGGATAGATGCGGGTGCTCACCTGACATTGGCGTCTGTGATTATCACGTTGTCATGACCTAATTCCAATGACACTCGCAAGTGATGCTAGAAACTCTTTAGGTAGTCAAAAAGATTAATAGCGATCTCTCGATACAAATTCAAGTTGAAGTGCTCCAAAAAAGAACACTTTGGGATCACAAGCCATCATGTTCAAAATCTCCTTGCCCGCCTTGTTCATTGCACCGTCAAGCGTTATGCAAATGACCCTAAACTTGCCGATTTTCCGAACTGCATGCAAAGGACCGCGACTGTAACACTAGGGTTTAGAGAGAAGCTCACTCGAAGATAGAAACGTAAACTCTGAAGATGAGCGATCCCAACAATGGTACTCCTCTCCCTTATATAGCTTTCAATAACAAGTACAAGGAGATAAGATCTAATCCCCATCATCCATCCCACTCTTAGTGGATGGATGACGTGGCGGATAACGCTAACAAGCACACGGATCGCTGACGTGGCGCTCCCAACTAACACACTCAATCCTTACCTACAAGCACACGGATTGCTGACGTGACACTATCAACTAACACATCCACTCTGTACCTACCAAGTGCGCGGATCGCTGACGTGGCAGCTATGACTAGTGCACACTAAAGTATCTATATCAATATTTAGAGTAACCTTTACTTTAGTTTAAACTAACTAAAGATGGTTACAAACCTCCCTCTTTTCAAGATGCAATGTCCTCGTTGCACATACGTTCAAACTTCTGAACTATCAAAGGTGCATTTGCTAAATTTTTAGCTGGTTCCCAAGTTGATTCATACGATGGATAGCCTTTCCATTGAATCAAATACTCTACTTTGGGATATTTATGACATCGAATACGTTTATTGATTATCTTTTCTACCTCAAACTCCTCATGATTTGCTATCAAGGTTGGAAGAGGAGGTGGTGCTGGTTGGTTGGTGAATTGATTTGGTCGTGGTACATGTTTTCGCAATCGTGACACATGAAATACTGGATGTATTTTCATATGTGACGGAAGTTCCAACTTGTATGACACTTCACCAACACGCTTCAAAACCAAATATGGACCAATGAACCTATGGTTCAACTTTGGTGTTCCTAGAAGAGACAAATTTGTTGTAGATAACCAAACATGATCTCCAAGCTCAAAAACCACTTCTCTACGATGAGCATTGGCATGCTGCTTTTGCCGATTTTGAGCTATCACCAACTTCTCCTTGGCCTGATGTAGTCCTCGGTGAATATGCTCCACAAATTCGTTGACTGCTGCAACTTTGGTCGAAAACTCCTCTCCTTTGGGAAGTCTCATCAAACTTGAAGGAGTTATATGATGAGCTCCATACATAAAAAAAAATGGAAACACTTTTGTGGATGCATTAACATAATTGTTATATGCAAATTCCACAAGTGGCAAAAGGTTGTCCCACTCTTCTTGCTCTTCTAATGTGAATGCTCGTAGCATATCCTCTATGGTTCTATTTGCCCTCTCAGTTTGTCTATCTGTTTGAGTGTGATAAGCCGTTGACATTGCTAATTTTGTTTTGAAAAAACTAAACAAAGTTTTCCAAAATAAACTATTGAAGTGAGTATCTCTATCCGTGATTAACACTTTGCTTAAGCCATGATTCACAAAAACTGTATCTAGATACAATTGAGCTAGTTGTGGAGCTCTTACTGTTTTTGTGGTTGGCTTGATCTGAATCATCTTGCTCAATT